TCTTTATCATAAATTTGTACATATTATACATAATTTTTTTCATAGAATACAAATTAAAACTTATTTAATTAATTTGAAATTAACGATATTTACTTTACGATCATTTAATTAATTCCGAAATTTCGTCGTCAATTAAATAACGATAAAATTTTTCGCTTTCTATGTTTAATTTTAGGAATTGTAAATTTAAATATATTACGAATAGAAATATAAAGACACACACACGATTTTAAAATGTATAGTCTACATCTAACAATAGAAAATATTTTAAATAATTTATATATAAATACATAAATACGCTGTTCAATTCTATAAGTGATATTTCAACAGCAATTGAGCAATTGCATTTCTGTATTTTTTAAATTAGATTTTTATATTGCATATTAAGAATTTCTTTTTGATTTATATATATATATAGATCAATATCACATATATATTATATAAAGTTTTGTAGCTTGTTAAAAGCACAATATATATATATAGGCCTATATTGTGCTTTTAAAGCACAATATATATATTTAAAGCAATATAATTAACTTACAAACAAAATCTTTAAAAAGTTTTTCTGCGTATATAGAAAGTGAGAAAGTACCTAAACATCTACACACACCAACATACACACAAATAAACAAACATACATATTATTTATTGAAAATATATTCATTAAAATAATTTATTTATATGCTTGTTATATGTTTAATGTTTTTTTTTAATTTTTAAACTGAAACTATAAAACATTTTTTTAATAAGGAAAAGCTATCTTGAATTTTGTTAAAGAAGTGGCATAAAGAAGAGAGATCTGATTCCAACTCCTGAGTATTTAAAAATTTTTACAAATAACAAAAAGGAAAAAAATATATTTAAATGTATTACACATCTTATTGAAATATAGAAAGAAAAGTATATTATGAAAAAATTAATGCATTTGCTTTGTATTAATATCTTTCGGGAGTCCCAAATTCCAACCTTAAGCAAGTTCTCCTTAAGCCACTGTTGTAAAGCTTATTATTTAATATTGTATGATACAATTAACATTAGGTTTTATCCAGAATTTTATAAATTTGATATTTTTTAAATTAATGAAATTGTTTAAAATTATGAATTTATTTCTAATTTTTTTTTCCATTTAAGAGAGGTATATAATCTTTCATTCAGTTTTTATCGTGATATTTGGAGCAGATAATTCTGAAATTGAGTTTATGAGCTATATAAAATATGTAATATAATATCAAGCGAGTTTCCCTTTAGAAAAATTGAAATATATTATAATTTTAAAAACTGAAACGATATTAAACAATTGAAATCTCTTTGTATAATTTTCATACTGCAAAAATTTACATAAATAATTCGTCTATATAATTATTATATATTGAAATTATTTAAAAAATAAATCATATATTCGTATATTTATAACATGTTCTATTATTTTTAAATATTTATAAAATACGTGTAACTTTTTACAACACAATCAGCTGTGTATTACCATAGAAACATGCAACAAAATATACAGAAAGCGTCATGAAACTTTTTATATAACTGATGCAAAATATATGCATATTGATATTTAATATTGAAACGTTGTTTCGAAATAAATAATAATAACTACTTATTCAAGATTTTTGCATTAATTAATGCATTTAAAGTGCTATTCAATAATGAAAATACCCTTCGGATCAATTCTGTCATTTTAATTTATATAATTTTTTTTTAAATATTATATACGAGCGTTCTATCAATATTTAACTAACAACCACATTAATTTTATTTATTTTTTAGTAAACAAAACTGATATTTAAACATTCAAAATTGATTTTAATATCTTAATTCGAGTGTAGCTTATTTATTGATATTTTTTTTTTTTAAGTTAGTGATGTCCTGATTTAAACTTGTGGCCTTGAGCTATAACAAATTAGAAGTCCCATCAACATTAAATAATAACATATATAAAAACACTAGGATCTAAGCTGTAGTTTTATAGCGTAAGGCCCTAAGCTTAGTTTTATAGTGCGAGGCCCTAGTGTCAGGTCCTAATTTGTAGTTTCATAGTGCGAGGCCTGAGCTATAGCTTGTTTAGCTTACGTATAAATTCGTCTCTAATTGCTACAATTGAATTTTAAGTAATTTTTAAACCTTATTTTTACAAAAAAAAAGGATTATAAATTAAGTAAGAATAGGAAATATTTAACATATTTTAAAAGTTAAAAATCATATCATTTATTCACTCAGTCACTTAAATAAAATAAAATAAAATAAAAACTACATACNATATCATGGTAATCTATATTATATTAATTTCTGTCAGTATTCGCGAATATATATTATATATATAGAATAAATGTACGAAATCCTTCCACATATAGGTCTAATACTTATATATAGACCTACATTATAAATGATTAAAAGTTTAAAACATATATACACTCACACATTCAAGGAAACACTTTGCTTCAATTTAAATTCAACATTTTGCAAAAAACAACAAAAAATCTTTAAGTGTTAAGTGTTATTCTCTGCTTTTCTGCTGCTTAAGGATATCACTATTTTTTCTTCATTAGAGTAGTTAAATTTTTATGAATAATGGAAATAGAAAGAATATATATTAATTCTCCAATTCTGATAATTCATTATAAAAATTTAAACATATGCAAAATAAGCATCTTCATAAAAGTAAACGTAAAATAAAAGATTATAAAAAACGTTTACTGATTAAAGATATTAATTTCTCATGCGTGTTATAAATTTTAATCAATCTTTACTGAATGATATTTGATTGTCTTGTTAAATATTTATAAACTTTGATTATGTTTAAAAAATGTAAGAACATTTTTATATTGGAAAAAAAAATATATTTTGATTTTAAATAAGTTTTTTTTTTTTTGAAATACTTCCTCGAGATCAATATTTTAAGATCAAAATAATATTGAACACTGAAATTTCAAATTTTATTATAAGAATTTTTTCAAAAATGTTATCTTGTGTGATATGTAGTAAAGAAACAATTTCAAGTTTAAAATTTAGGAGTAGACATGAACTTAAAAAAATGAATTTTGTTTTTGTCTTGCGTTATTGGTAAATAAATTGCAAATATAATAGTCAAATATATAGAACATATTCTATATTGTCCAAATATTACCTCTTTTTGTTATATTATTAAACTCGAATCAATGAAACACCATAGAATATATAATGCTTTAAACGCAAGAAAAATTTAAGATGATTTAAAATCAATTTAAATCTAGATAAATTGTAATCGAAAACTTTAGGTAAAAATGTATTCTGGAAATTTTAATTTTTTTACTAAAGTAACTTTTCAACGAAAAATATTTTATTTCCGAATTGGAATGTTACTCTAGAGATTACTTTTCGTATTTTTTTTATTTATAAAAATTTAAAACGAAATCTCTTCATTTATGTAAAATACTTTAACGGAGGCTATCTGATTATGTTTCTGATTTTTAAAATGTTGCTGTCACTTATTGACAAAGTCCTACTAATAAAACAGTTTTCATCGTCGATATGTTTAAAATTCCATTTGATATTATTTTTTGAATATAATTTGTTTCTTTTTCGTTGTTGTTAATATTTAAAATTACTCTTAATACTTTCAAATATTTTAGTATGTCCATATTAATGTTAATTGTCTAGTCACCTTTATTAAATTCTACTGAATAATTTTGTAATTTATTGATATTGTAAATTTGTATTGTAAATTTTTATTTCATTAAGACATCAGATTGCGCCAAACAATATCATTTGTTATGCATTATAAATAATAAACGTAAGCATTTCCTTAAATTTAAAGAGATTTAGGCTAAATTATTTAACTAAATCTAGTCACGTTATTTCAATTCAAAAATTTTCTCCTGAACGGAGTTAGATATACCACCGGCATGACTTTATTGTTAACAGGTAAAGTATGATATACATGGGCAAGACACTACTTATTGTGACGAAAAATTGCAGCCCGTCATTGTAACGATATCACAATAAATAATTGCTCGTTCCGATAACATTTCTCATTACATACCGAAAATAGATTTAATTGTTTCTTTAATTATTCAATGGTAAAAATAACTATGGCCGCTGCTTCTAAATTGTTACGAGTGTTCAAGTATAGTCATATAGATTTTTTAAATAATACGTATGCATCGAATGGTATCTTTCTTTTTTCTTTGCAGTTTTCAATAGGTATATATAAGCTTACTTAATTTTCAAAAACAAAATTAGAAAGGGAGTGGTCCAAACTATATAACTAGACAGTTATACTTACACGCAATTTGAATCATAACATTGCTGTTTTCTACGAGTCATACACTTTATGAGCAGTTTATCGACTTCCATTCGAGGAAAAGGTGATGTTCTGTGAAGAATTACTTGGTAATCTATATTCCTTTTAAAAACTATTTAACATAGCATCGATCTTTTCTTTTTCGTAATATTTTTCTAAACTATTCCAACCAACATACTTATGTATCAGAATTTTATCTAAATGCAGTGTTCTAGATTATACATAATTGGTTAAATGTACAGTATATTCAGACTTTATATAAACGTTTAATATTGTTAGATGTTAATAATAAAAACACACTTTCAATATTTTAACCAATAACGCTGATTATGACTTATATTAGGCTAAAAATATATAAAGTGGTGAAAATAATCGTTAAAATGGATATAAAATTCGTAAAGGTACTTAAACACTTTATAAAATTTGTGTTTGTTTGAGATGGAATCAAAGTTGTAACGCTTGTCAAATTAAGTAGGACACACTATATCATGGTAATCTATATTATATTAATTTCTGTCAGTATTCGCGAATATATATTATATATATAGAATAAATGTACGAAATCCTTCCANACATTAAAATGTTACGTAACTTTTAATTTAAACCTGATTAAATATATAATTGTTTCTATTAATAAAAATAAGTTTTTCTGATTTAAATTACTATTGTGAATTAAATACTAAATTTGTATTACGTTTAATACTTCTACTAGGTTCTTCCAGGGTTATATATTGGTAATATCCGTGATTCAAAGGATCAGGAACAGCTTAAAGCGAATGAAATTACTCATATTATATCTATTCACGACAATGCCAAACAGTTATATCAGGTGAGAAAGAAAATTAATTTAATGGAAAATTTTATTTTATTTTTTTAATTATATAAATTTAGTTTGATGTGACAGTAAGCACAATTTTTAACTATTGTAATAACTATTATTTTTGAAAAAACCCATTAAAAATGAGGTTTCTTGAAAAGAAAACTTTAAAAAATGGACATTTAAATACTTTTTAAATAAATAACCTCAATACAAACAAGGTAAAAGAGAGAAGTTAAAATGAGAAAAAACAAAGTTATAAAATTGATGGATTGTTTCAATATGATTGGAAAATACAATTTTGAATTATTAAAAATCCTTCAATTCTTCAGTTTTTTTTTTCTCGTTTAATAATATTTTCATATAAAGTCGTTTGTATTGAGAATTACTTTTTAGATGATTTTTTAAAAGCGTGTTATTTAAAGAAATTCTAACAAAAGTTTGAAAAATTTAGGATAAAAAATATTTATGTATCCAAGCTTCGGATTCACCCGATCAAAATATCAGCCAATATTTTCCACAATGCAACGAATTCATTCACCGAGCAAGAACAAATGGGGGAAGTGTTCTTATTCACTGGTAAGTAAAATAATAAAAGATCTAATAAACGCGAATTTACATATGTTTATTTTTTTCTATCCATTTAAAATGACGAATATATTATATTAATAATAATATAAATCTATCACTAAAAATATCATTTTAAACTAAATTCTTAAACGAAATGTGTTTATCACTAATGCGTTTTTCATGCAATAAATGAGTTTTTTTCCTCGAAAGTTATTACGTTTTTCCTGTATTATAATTTTACGGAAATGTATTTGCTCTCTTATAGAATAATTTAATTTGTCAGATGATTTCAGCGGAGATGATGCATTTAATATAGCATATATTTTAAAGATAAAAAAAAATTCATCTCAATTTCCTCTCTAAATTTTAAATTTTACACAAAACATATGAAAGGCTTGAAAATATTAGTTCAAAATAATAGACAGAAAAGTTTCTTCCTTAATCTTCTATTATTTTTGTAGCTGTATTTTAATATTACTTAGACATAAAGGGAACCATCCAAGATAGCGATTGTAGTGGAGCATATTCTGCTATCTATTAGCTATAAATATCTATTGCGTGACGATCAGAAGTCACTTGGCTGCACTCAATCGATGTCAATAGACGATCGTACTTAAATCACGCAGTTGCTTCATATTCTTATTTAATACTAATTTTTAAAATTAAATACAAATTTTGTTTTTTATTTTGTTTTAGTTTAGCGGGAGTTTCTCGAAGTGCTACAGTTGCTGCAGCGTATATCATGTCTAGCACAACACTCAACGCCCGGGATGCCGTTAAAGTAATAAGAACAGTAAGAGCTATCGCTAATCCAAATTTTGGATTCGAAAAACAATTAAAAAATTTTGAAAGATGTCGTTTGGGCGAGGTATGCATCATTGTACTGTTATTATACATATAATTAAAACTTAAACTTTTACTCTGAATTTACATAGATGAAGAAATGATTTTCTATTTTCATAATTTTCATAATTAGAGTAAAGCATTAAATTATCAAAAATAGAAAAATCAATGAAAAATTAATTTTTTTCCTCCAAATATTAAATTTTTTAAGATAAATCGTTACCCAAAAAAAGAATGAAAGTAAATTTTTATATTGCAGTAATAAAAAATACAATTTGAAAAAAATTAAGTTAATGTAGTTATTAACTTTTTAAAGCATTTTCTTTAATCGCTCATTTTATCTTAAAATTGATTTTTTAAATAAGAAATATGTACTTAAACTTATATTTGTTCATATAATGATATTATTTAATGTTTTTCAAAATAGCATGCAAGTTATTTAATTTTTGTTAATCTATAAAACGGTGGCCTAAACAATAAAAGTCAATCTTGTAATTAAGCTAAACTATTCCCTAAAGAGAGAATTCCTATCGAGTGCTCTTACTTTTTGGGTGTGGTCTGATCGTTATGGACATTGACGAATGAAGCTTTCTCATTCATCCTTCACGGTTTTATACTTTTGTTTAGCAAAAACGTAGGCAGAAGATATTGAGCAATTTTCTAAACTACAAACTATCATTTTTTACTTTGAAAAATTTTGTGAACTTTTAATAATTAACTATCTAAGCTTTGTTTCTCTCTTCCTTTTTTAAAAAAATATTTTTTTTATTTTCAATGTGCGTCTATATTTTTTCTTGTTTTGATTATTTTTAAAGTAAAACCATTTATTAATTCTAAAACTAGTAGAATGTTTATGAATAATATTAATGATCTCATAGCTTATTTTCTTAATTCAATTAGGAAAGGAGAAGGTTAAGGAAAAAATATCCTGAGAGCGATTATGACGAAGACGATAAAGAATGCCATCGACTATTAGGCGAATTTTGTAGTAGTTTTCATGACATAGGATCAAAACCCTCCACGACAACGTCACATCAATAGAAGCAATACTTTTTACATCCCTCGATTTCTTTATCTTTTGTTATTTTTAATAAAACCGTACCTAAAAAATTTCAACATAAAAAAATAATTCTTCTCTTCTCAATGCCAAATTGTGTATCCTTTACGAGGTAAATCAATTTTATTAAATTATATTCTAATTATCACATTCGATCTTATTAATTAATATAATAATGCACTCATTACATAATTATATCATACATATATAATATTGTACATACGAAAGAACGCCAGAAGAGAATTACTTTGTATTTTGATATTTTGTTGAATAAACATATATTTAGAGGATATTGTTATAGTTGGAGATTTTTTGTAATTTTATAAACGATTGAGGCCTATACTATTTGAAGAGTATTGATTTAAGAATAAGTTTTAAAAAAAGTGACACACACTACCAGCTGCAGAAAAGAAGAATAAATATTTTAATGTATTAGTAAGAAAGGAAATACTTCACAATTCCAATCGAATTTCTTATTCGAAGAAAAAAAAATGAAAAAACTTTGACACTTTATAAAATGACATAAAAAAATATAAAAAAATATATCGACTCAGACAATAAAGCATCAATGATGTTATATTCGTAACATCTATCAATAAATCGATATTTAGTAAAATTATATAAGTTAATACCTTTTACACGTACTTCATTACATGGCTAATATATGTATGTTTCGATATTAAATGAAATTTTCTATTTACAAGTTATAATATATAGTTTTCTATTGGATGTAGAAAACTGATTTTAATTTATTCAAGATAATTCGGTCTTCAGAGACCTCATTATTTCTTTCAATAATTTTAATATTTAAAACTTTATTTTTAAACTAGTAGATCGTTTAATAATTTAATAGAATAGATTTTCTACTTTTCAATATGAAAGATATGATCTAGTTTTATAATTTATAATTTAAACTTAAAAGAAATCAGATTAAAAAAATTTTTCTAGAAATCAAGTTGAATTAATTTTGTCGAAGTAAATGTTAATGATAATTTTGATTAAAAGCTAAAACTGAGTTTAGTTATTAGTTAATTAATGACAAGATAGAAATTACAAAAATTTATCAAATATACCCTTTTTAACTTTTATTTATTAATGCAAAATATTTCTTACAATTAATTTTAGTCAGAAAAGAAAATATTTTAAGATTATTAATTTATAAATATTGTTCCCTATTATATGAATGAAATGCATTAACACGATTAATATTCTATGTAAAAATTGTTTTTCTAAGTGTACAAACACATCGTTCATGAACCCGGAAATAACTACTCTGATAAAATATAGCACTAAAATGTAGATTTAGCTGATGAAGATGTAAAATTTTCAACTAATTTATTATAAAATTTTGTGTAATGAGAATTTATCTATTACAGTCTACGCTAATTTACACTTTAAATAGTTTATTATTTATTTTAGCGAAAAACGAAGTTTTATAAGAGTTGTTATATTTTATTAATTTTCCAAATGTAATTATATATTTTCCACGTTAATAATTTTCAAATAATTATAGTAATTTCTTCTTCCACCAAATCTGAATAGTTTTTGCAGCCTTATCCGTGTAGAAAGTTAAAAGTAAATGTTTATTCAAACGCTTCTGTTCTTTACTTTCTTCTTTGAGTTCTTCCGGGTCAACATTATTTCTATTTTCATCTCTAGGACACAATGTTACCAGTCTGGATGACGATAATTCCATCTACAGATTGAATATTGTAATTTATATATTTCTTAAATAAATGAATAGTAACACTTCATTTTAATTTACCAACCTGACTTGTGATTCCAATAGACACTTTCATATTTAATTGTTTTTCGTCGTGATTTTCTTTCGATTTTACTGAAATTTTACATTCAAATTTATTTTCAGTTTCCATTTTTGGAACACGATTTTCCAATTTTCCATTTTTAATATTCGTTAAATTTATTTGAAGTTTTTTGTTTTCTACAGAAGGAAATTCTATCCTATTTTCATCTAACTTTAACGTCTCACTTTTGTCATTTTTCGAATCTTCATTCTAAATTTTATTGGAAAAAGTATAAATCATATATAACATTTAAGATTTTATACTATTGTAATATATTTTCTATCATCTATAAACATTATTTTATCTCGAACTTACATCTAGCAGTTCTTCAGGAGATAAAATAGCATCATCTTTCATCATCGATAAAATTACCTAATAAAAATTCAATAATTTAATATTTATTGTATAATTAAATAATATATGTAGATAAATAAATCATACATGAAACATATCAGTAACGCTAGATTTCAATCTGAGCCAAGTTGAATGACAACGTATCAATGTTTGTATCATAATTACTTTCTCTTTATTTTCTTCATAAAACTTTCCTCTGAGTGATTCTTCTCTTGAAACATCATCCGGCTATAATTAAGTTAAATTTTACTCAAAAGTAAAAGTAATTTTTATTATATAATATTATATATATACACGCATTAAAAATTCTACTTAATTACTTTAGTGATTAAGGTTAAAGGAATATTAATTTCTCTTTTCTTTGTAATTTTCTTCCACCAATTCTCAATAATTTTCTTTGCTACCAACTGAAATATATAAAAATAAAAATTTATTTTAAGTTTAAATAATAGCGTTTTAAAATCTAAAATTAACAGTATTTGAATTCGTACAAGTTTTATTTTTTCAGCCATAATGTTGAAGTGATATCTATGAATATATCCCCTTATAAATACTTGGATATGGATAATAGAGGACAATGTTCTGCGATATTGTCCTCTTTGAATGATCGATCTACAATAGTTTTGAATGATTTTTATTTCCTTTTCTTCCGATGATGTATAAACTCTATTAATTATCTAGAAAAAAATAAATAACCATTTAAAACTTCGACATAAAATTTCCATTTCTCTGAATAATAATGCTCCATAACTTATAACATAAATTATATATATTTTTTTTTAAATTAAAATAAAATATATAAACTTATAAAAAAAATTTAGTACTTTTACCTTTATGGATTTAATTTTAATTTCAGTTTCACCTATAGACATTTTTTTAATTTCATCCTGCCTTCTTATGATTGTTTTAGCTGCCAGCTATTAATATATAAATATCAAGTAGAGGTACTAATAAATTATTAAGTAAGTAATCCTCTTACTTTTAATACTTGTTTAGATAATAAATTTAAACAACGTCTGACGTTATATCCGCGTATTAAGGCCTGCAAATAAACTCTTAAGGACAATGTTTGTAAATATTTTTTCCTTTGCATTCGCCTTCTCCACCAGAATTGTATAGTTTTTATGTTTTTCGTCTTTGATAAATATATTGTATTGACAGCTTCCTAAAGAAAAAGTATAATTAATTGCAGACATTTATAGATTTTTTTATTTTTTGTAATTTTGTGTAAGTCTAGTCTATAATTTCAAATGGATTGTAAGAATAGAATAACGTATTTAGTTTTTCCTTATTTATTAAAAATTAGTAAAGATTTGTTTTAAAAGTTTTATTTTCAACGAATAATTATTTTTTTATATTCCTATAGCAGCATGAAAATTACATTTAATTGTAATTTTTATACTATTTTAATGAATAAAACAATTCGAAACTTCGCATATTGTGTTAATGAATTTAAAAAAAAAATGTTTTATAATTTTTATGGCTCTTGTAAAATATGTTGTTATAAAATTAATAACAAAACTGAAATAAAAATTTTAATAAATGACTGAAATTTATATCATACATTTCATTTATATTATGTGATAAAATTTAATTTTAATTTATTTAAAGTTAAAAAATTATTTATTATATAACATTCAAATATTTATTTTTATAATAAGTAACATAACATTGAATAAATTATTATAGTATTAATTAATAATATAACCATTGAATAGATTATTATATGATCATAGTGGAAATTGAACAGATTGACAAGGATTATAAGATCATTTATATTCAACAAAATTCATTTTAACATAAGCCAAGACAGTTATTAACATAATGAATAGGATAAATTAAATCAAATTAGTGTATTTACTTCATTCAATTTTAGAAAATAAATTAAGCATGTTAAACATTTATATTTAAAAATAAGTAAAGTGACCAAAATTAATTTAATATGATTAATCCATCTTTATTCCATATTCAAATTCCTATTTCCTGAAGAATTATCTTTTCCGAATTTGAAATATTCACTATGTCCAAATATCAATTTACTTAAAATTTTTAAATAAATTGGATTTATTTATTGTACTTCTTAATACTTTTTACACTTCTCTGTTTAGATTTTTAACTACAGTGTTTGAATTGTATATAAATTAATTATATTATTTCTAAAATTAACATTGTACAATTAAATTAAAATTTGTATACTAAAAGCTTTTTCAAAAATAATTTATTTGTAATTTAATATTTCCAAAAGAAANTATTTCCAAACTGATTTTAACCAGTTCTATAGTAAGGTAACATTCCAATAGACAATATGCAAAGCATTTTTTTCAGTTTACAGCAGTATTTATTACACAAAATTTAAGTAAAGCTTAACATGCCGATCTTGCCCCGGTCTCCCCTATATAAAGGATAAAATATGACATATAAAGGAGATGGAGGAATCTGATGATAATTCATTTGAAAAAATATGTAATAAATAAATAAATACGTATATATATATATACACTAATGCACATTATTCTGCAGACATTATTTAATGTAATTCCAAACAAATGGTCAGTTGCAACATAAATTTTTAAGAGGAAAAAATAAAAAGTTATATGAAGATTAGCAAAATCCTTTATCTAGGATTCTGGGGGATATTCTATATTAATTGGTTTAACGTGCTACAACTATCAAAATATTTGCTGGAAAATAGATAGAAATTTTAGAGTTAAAATATAATTTTATAAACGAAAATTTTTCTGTTAGAACTAATGCATTGCATAATAGAAAAATAGATAATTATATATTTAAAAATAAAGAAAACAAAGAAAGTAATTAAGAGAATTTTTATTGCTTAATATTTTTAATTTGTTCAGCATTTTCCAACGTATTTGGAAATTCAATAAATATATCCAAATACTATGAAAATAATAATTATTGAAATACTTTTTTAACATAAATTTGGATCTATCAAAATATCGAGTAATTATAAGAGATAGAAAATAATGTAAGATAGAGATAGATTTGATAGTAGATAGATGTAAAATAATATAATTATTTAAAATTAATTTACATAGGATATTATAAATATTCTTGTATGGGTAAACTCTATAATGGCCTCTTTATTTCTAGACTTATCACACCGTCATCAGATACAAGACTAGTCTCAATATATCACTTTATTTTTAATAGTATGCATTTCGGATTTACAGTCCCTCCTCAGCTATTTTACAATTATAGAGCTCACCTATACATTATTAAACTAGATAAGAAACGTATTATAGTATAAATATTCTTGTTAAATATATAGAAAATAAATACGACCCTTTACTAATAAAATAAATTCATATTTCTGATCGATTGGAGACGGAAAAGTAATGGTAGATGCGATTGCCGGAGATAGTGTTTGTGAATGTTTGAATTCTTCTCTAACCAATCACGATATGATCCTAATTGACAAGTCATGTTATCGTTATTGATTTTCGCCTACGACTAACCAATGAAATTTATGCAACTTCCTCCGTAATGATTCTAAAGATTTAGTAAACTATTCTCTAAAGAATGGCATACATTTTGTTATATCGTAAATTTTCCTATTATTATACAATAGCAATAAATAAAAAATTAAGTTCAGTCTTAAAGTCGACTCGTCTCTTTTCTCTTCTCTACAAAGTATGTTCTTGTTCTTATATTTAAGTTTCTGAAAAAAGTCTACTCGAGAGGGTGAAAATCTTAATTTTCGTTTTCATAAAGTACATAGAAGACATATTATTGATTATGTAATATCTAAAACCCTAAAGGAAATGAAAGAATAATATAGCAATAATTATATTTTGGTGCATTCTATATCATTGAAACTTTCTAAATTTGAAGGTCTATTCGCTCTTAAATTTCGATAATTTTAGCTATTTGTAACTGTATATACACTGTATACAAGACTTAATATAGAAAAGAGGTCGTTGCAAATTAAAAACACATCGAATTTTCGGCTAAAAAAAAGAAAAAAAAACAATTACAATCAATGTTTTGCGATAGAAACTTTAATTATACGTTTTACCTTGGACTTTATCGAGCTTACTCTGATATGTACAATTACAATAGAACAAAACTCTCTGAAACCTAATTATAGCTTGTAGATATAACTAAGTTAGAACAGAATGCAGTAGTAAGTGATTTAACATAGAATTATTACAAAGAAAAAAATTTTATATAAAACTATGGTGCATAAATCAACACGTTAAGAAATTGTATAAATTTTTATTTTGATTCAAGAGATTTTAATCCATTATCGTAACTTATCGCAATCTTCCAGATGTGTACCTGACATATTTATCTTACAGGTTTTAAATCTTATAGATTTTAACAGCTTATTCGTCTTACAGGTTTAAAATTCCAAATCCCTTATCTTAAAGTCAGAAATTACTTTGCAAATCTATTTTCTATATCGTTATACTAAAGCAGGAAGAGGGCTGGACTTAAACTTGTTCTGACCTAAGTTAGAACGTATAACAAGGCCTTTCCTTCCACCAAATAATTGTACATATAAAACTGCGAGACCCTAAACTGCAGCTTGTTTAGTTTACGGGTAATTCCAGCCTTGAGCAGGAGATTTTGCCCATCAGAATTTTATATCTTTATGAGTTTTATGTTGTGTTGTCTTCAAGGTAAAGATGAAACAACGTAAGGTCTTTTTAAAACCCTTTTTTATGGATCAATAAACAAGAGTTTACATGCAAGATGCGTTTTGAGCTTTTTGCTCCTTTTCAGTTCCTTGTTGCTCTCGGAATTTAATAAAGCAGCTGAAGAGGAGCAAAAAGCTCAAAATACATAACTCTTCTTTATTGGTCGATAAAAGAAGATTTTAAAAAGGCTTACATTGCTTCAGCTTTGACGACAACACAACATAGAATAAGATACAACGTGGTTCTACGCTGTCAAAAAATCTTTAAATGTTATTAAATAATAAACGAATGCTTATTATTAAGTATAAAAGTGCAAGTTTTGACTTTTTTATTAATTAAAAATTAAAGTATTAATAATAATTTTAAATAAAACTGATAAAAGTTAATGATTTAAAAAGAAATCTTTAGTTTTTATTTTTAATTTAAATAATAATATCTATATTNATTAAAATAATAATTTAAATTATTTCCTAATTTTAACTTAAATTATTTAAATTCTTTAAGTTAAAATGAAAGATAAAATTAATATAACTTTTTATTTTTATGCCAAATATCAAAATTAATTAATCAATATAAAGAGAATTAAATAAATTCTCTTTATATTAATTTGCAATTATATTATAAAAAATATATGATATAATATATAAATATGAGTTTATTATATATATTTATTTATTTTAAATACAGTTGAAATAGTCTATCTCAAACATGTTTATGTCGAAATTTATTTCTCCCCTTCATTTTCAGCTTAAATTCAATATATTTTCCGTGTTTATCTCAAATAATTTTCTCCCAAAACCTCTATATCTTAAATTACTGACTGAAGTGTCAATTACAAATTCAAAGCTCAGCGACTACATTTTGATAGCATAAATTGCAGTTGATAAACATCTCTTTCAATATAATACATAGTTGCAATTAATGCTACTTTTTTATGATTGGCTACAAGTTTGGCTTGCACCTTATTGGTCAAAGAAAGTCAGGCAGCAGAAACTAATGACAAGCAATTGTCTGTTAAGGTATGTCAAAAATGTTTCATTTATATCTAATACAGATATGTACTGTATTTATTGCTGTATTAATAAAATACCATACCTCCAATCAAACCTACTACTGTTTACTGTATAAGAACCTCTATATCTCGAGATATAGAGGTTCCTATACAGTAAAGATGTGAAAACAAAAAATTTGGAAAAAATAATTTATCTGAAATGTATTAAGCAAATCTTGAATGTATAAAAATGCCAAATATTTTGAAACATATAGAAATTTGTGAACAGAGTGAACTATAAAACATTTATTTTGTACAGAACTGATATTTTCTGTGTGTAAATCACAAGATAACATTATTATTGTCATCTATTTCCAGCATTTATAATTATACTACATTGGATACAGATGAAAGTGTAGATTAAATTTTTCCTATATAAAATGTGTTATTGTTTATCATATCTATACTAAGTAATTCAATTTATTTTTCTGTCTGCTTAAATAAAATAAAATAAAACATACTGAATAATACTCTATACTAAAATCTTTTTCAATATCTCTGACGACAATTTTTTCTTGTGATAATTCTTTGCTCTTACTTTTCCTCCACCATCTTTGGATTGTACTTGCCGAAATTTCAGAGTTTTTATTCACCTAAACATAAAAGTTTAATTATATGTTTTAACCACAAATGCCAAATTAATTTTCTAATTAAGCTTAAATTAATAAGAACCTCAAATTTTCTAATAACGCTTAAACATGTTTTTATAACATCCTCGACGACGTTTTCAGCAACTTGTCGTAATTCATTTAAATTTTCACTCAAGTGATTGCTCTCTTCCGATTTGATTTCAGGAAATGGTTGAAACAATGATTCGTCCGATGTAATTAAATCTCTAGGAGTTATAAATTTGTCTTCCTCGATCATTATACATTCTTCTATTCGCAATTTTGCTGGATATTCTGGCTCCATATCAATACTTATTTCACATATCTCCTCTATAGTACAAGTATTTGGTAGACAAATCGTCATGTCTGTTTTTATCGGAATCTGCACGGTTACGTAACGTTCCTCACGTGTTTCTTCTATATTTTGTACAGAATTAATTCTCTCCACATTTAAATCAGGCCTGACACCATTATCTTCTTCTACAATTTCCAAATTTGTATGGTATTCGTTTATAATTTCGACCTTTACAAATACTCAAGATCAGTTTTTTTGCCTCGTTACACATTAAAATAGATTTAGATACCTTTTTAGCATTTTCAAATGCCATACTTCTTCTTTGTCCTAATAAATAGTTTTTAAAAGCAGGCATTTTCTCCGTTAATGTGTCGTATTTACATTTTATTTCTTTGCGTATATTATCGTATGACATCTTTAAGTTCTTAAAATATGCTGTCAAACCGTGATCCTCTCTATATTGGTTAGATGGATAAATCTCAGTTTCAGTGGCATCCTGTAAGAACCAATACTAAAAATTAATTAATTTTAAAAATTTGCTGACATGTTATAAGTTTAATACGTATTTATCCATCCATTTAATAATTTGTATTAAATATTTTAACTCTATACGATTTTCCGGTATAGACCAAAAAGCACGCTAATTCAATTCAAAGGTTTTTCCCTGAATGGAGTTACATACATGACTGGCATGACTTTGTTGTTATCAGGAAAAGTATAATGTACAGGGAGCAAGACACGACAAATTTCAGATGGAGAACATATGATGTACATTAAATAAATTAAGAATATGATTAAATACTTGCAGCTCGGCATTGTGACGATGTCACGATAAATAATTGCTCGTTTTATAAATTCTTACCATTGAACTTTTTCGTTTTTTTAATACTTTTTGCTGTGATTTTGTCAAATAGAGAGTTTTTTCGCCTTTCACTTTATCTACGCTTTTTAAAAATGGCGTTTGAACGACATCTTTCCACCACTGAACTAGGATATCCAATTTTTCATTCTAATAAAAAAAACAACCTTAGTTTTTCTCCTCTTTACAAGTTATCTGATTGGGATATCTACCATTTGTTCTGTTTTATTTTTGATGATTTTCTTAGTGAGAAACCTGCGAATGACTGACTGAATTACGATTACATCACTAGGAACATTCCTATTTTCCTGAATAAATTTAAACGTAGAAATTAAAAATTCGGATTTAAATTCAAGCAGCCTGATTAACGAAATGGATTGTGTTTCCATTCCTAATTGATGGATTTTCTGAGAAGAATGTGAAATTTTCGATTTTGTTCTGTTTTCTGAAAATTCCAATTCCAATCCTGTTTCCTGTTTTGCTAATTTATTTGATATTTGGCTTTTTATCTGTTGACACTTCAATCGATCTTTTTTAGGTATGACTACATCTTCCATAAATTTGTGAATATTTTTAAGCTAAAATAATGAAAAACAAAAAAATAGATTTATTAACACTTTAAACCCATCAAAACCAAACTAATTGAATTTTAAATCTTAAAATTAAGTGTTTTGCTAAAAATCTTAAATTTTAGAATAAACATATATTTAGAGGATATTGTTATAGTTGGAGATTTTTTGTAATTTTATAAACGATTGAGGCCTATACTATTTGAAGAGTATTGATTTAAGAATAAGTTTTAAAAAAAGTGACACACACTACCAGCTGCAGAAAAGAAGAATAAATATTTTAATGTATTAGTAAGAAAGGAANTTCCAATTCCAATCCTGTTTCCTGTTTTGCTAATTTATTTGATATTTGGCTTTTTATCTGTTGACACTTCAATCGATCTTTTTTAGGTATGACTACATCTTCCATAAATTTGTGAATATTTTTAAGCTAAAATAATGAAAAACAAAAAAATAGATTTAACACTTTAAACCCATCAAAACCAAACTAATTGAATTTTAAATCTTAAAATTAAGTGTTTTGCTAAAAATCTTAAATTTTAGCGTTCAAGTACCTTCTTGGTATAACAGCTTAACTGTAGATCCATAGATCCTCCACTTTTATAATTTCTCCAAACTGCCTGCAAAATGATGGATGCCATTTCCTACAATTGGGAAATACTCAAGATTTAAGTTGTGTTTCATTTAACCTTATATTTTTTACATTAATTTTTAAAAAATAAATACCTTCTCAGTTTGTTCTAATTCTTTAATCAGCCTTAGTTTCTCGGCAAACCTTTTCACAACATCTTGAATTGATAAAAGATTATCAATCAATTCTGCTGAATACTCCTTATCCGACGATTGTTTCCACCAAATATCGACACTCCCAAGAATTTTTCCTTCCTGAAACAAAACATTTTAATTTAATATAATAAAACGTGTATAATGCATCCAAATTTTATTGAAGTTACCTTTTCTTCTCGTTTTACTTCAACACATTTAACTCTTTCTATAAATCCTTTCATCCTGGACTGTACAACAGCCAGATTATCGTAAAGAAATTGATGTCTATCGCAACTTGTTAAGCCTTCTAAGCAGATATCAATTTCGTCTCCTTGTATTTCGTTTTCGTTGTGGATTTTTATAACAGTCTTCCACCATTTTGCTATTATCATTGTCACTATATACTAAAAATAAACATAATTTTTAATTCTTTTTTTCAAAGATATCTCACAGCAAATTATAATTTATAAAAGGTTATAATCACGTTATATAAAATTATAATAACGTTACTTACCGCTTTCATTTTAAAAAATTCATATAATATAGATGAAGGTATAAAACTATCCTGAATTTTAGTGGGTATTAATATATATTTAGTTTTATCTTCATTAGTACGCCACCAGCTTTGAATCAACAGTGCGGAAATATCCTAAATTACAATTATAATTCGTTTTGTAAGTTTTTATATCAACAGAAAAACGTACTTTACAATAATTACCTGAATTTTTTCTGTAGATAACGATTTAATCGATTTACTAATGCAAACTCGAGATTTTTGCAGCAAAAGAGGATGACGACGTGCACAATATCCTCTTACGTAACATTGTACAGTTACAATGAGTTCGTTCTGCTATATAAAAATTAAATTTTATAAATTATTATTATTTTCTTTTTAAATGCATAACCTAAAGAAAGGAAATAAAAGAAATATATATATGTATATATATAACAAATATAGATCAGATACAGTCTTTGCTTTGGTGACAGTGAATCGATATTTTGTCACTAAAAAGGAAAGTGCATTTATTAGTAATGAAACTACTTTACAATTGTCACGTGGCCAACGACAAATAAGGAACATTAATTTTCCTGATTTGTCATTAATCACATGACACTAATAAGCTATTAATACTATTATTCAAATTTTGATTCTTCATCATCAGTCTTGGTAACTGTAACTTGAGGAAATCTTGAACACGAGAGCGATCTATAAATTTGTTCAAGAATTGTTTCAACAATTACCTCGTTTTTGAAAAGAATCGTAATTTATTCAGTAGTTCAAAAATAACTTGACTGAAATTGAAAACTATAATTGTTTGCTAAAATTTATTCTAAAAACATTTTAATCAGAGGTGAGTAAACTCTTTTAATCAGAAAGTCACAGCGGATCTTATATGGTGGGTCCAGCAACCACCACCCACTCGACCACTGATGGGTATAAGTGGCCGAGTGAATAAAGCCACGAACACTGATCATGGGTTCGCGTTTTGTCAATTGGCTAGCATCATGGAGTTTTCCGTGTTTTCTTCACGTTTATAACACCTAAATAGGGGCACGTTTTCCATGAAAAGTCCTCTCGGGTGGCATCCCCCTCGGTAGATCGTCCACGTGTCGATTTTCCGCATACAAACGAATGACAGATTGAAAATAGCAACAGCCACATGGCATCACAATAAGTGTAATCGAACAATGTAATATAGTTTCCAGATATAGCCTGTATTTGTTCATTATGGTAAATTTGTACTATGTCAATTTGCAAGCGCCTAAAATCGCTTATTATAGTAATGATTTTAATCGCAGTCATTGCTACGAGCGACATATCAAATTGTAAGTTTCTGAAAACCCATATTTAGCATATGAGAATTACATTTGACTTCTATTCTTTTGGCGTTTTTATTCGTACTAGGATGATGAACTCAACACAGAAAATTATACGGATTCAAACAGAGCTTCCATTCCAAAATACACTAAATTAATTTACCTCCTTAAAACTTTCTCGGCGATTTCTAAACCATTTTTGAATAGATTTTGCGGCCAAAGTTGGATTTCTACCTAAAATAATTACTTTTTTATTTTTTTGTAATTACTGTATTTACTTGCGCTCTCATATTTTACTTACGTAAGAGACTTCTAATACTTTGATAGCTGGCAAGGCCAACAACGGTCAAAGTTGCGATAGCGCAACCCAAAGTATGAAACTTGGAATTCATCTTCGGAATAGTTTTGTATTGAACGATCTATAATTTTAATTTTATAATTAATATAAAAATTACCGTAATAATGTTTTATTTCATAATGTTATTATTATAAATAATACAACTGATATTCATTATTATGAAATGTTTTTATGCAAATTCCTATGTTTATATCAATATTTATAAGTTTATTATGGTACTTGTCACTACAGTCAAACCTCTTTTATCCGGATCCCATTCATTCAGATTTCCGGAATATCCGAATTGGTTTGAATAATCGTTTATTTTTAAATCTACATACCTTGTGGAAAAATTTAGTTTTTGCGATGTTTGTAATATCATACCGTCTTAATATGTATTTACCAATGGATAAGACTTAATTTGGATAGAGCTTGATATAACCTATCTTTGTTAATGTGATAACCAACGAGCATTTTCCCTTCCTGACATGGATAAACGAGAAAACACAGCAGAAAATCGTTCTACGAGCTGGTCCATAGATGAAGCACACATTAAGATGTCATCAAAATAAAGAATAACACCTGGAGCATCAGGAATAGTGTCGTCAATAGGGCTTTCAAATACTCAAAGGCTGTGCATATCCCGAACTTCAAACACTTACTTTGAATACACATCGATGTGTTACGATGGTCAGCAGTTCGGCAGAAGTGTTCATCTTCGTTTTCACGGGCTTATCTCCGGGTAACTGGAGGTAAGCCTGAGAAAAGTCGATTTTAGCAAATATGATGAAAGGAGATAAAAGATGTGTGACGAACGGAATTGAGTGTGGGTAATCACGCAATGCGTGATTGATGGTTACTTTATAATCTCCACATAAGTGCATAGTGCTAGAAGGCTTTAGAATAGGAATAACTGGTGCAAACCACACGATGGGCTCAATGACGCCTTCATGCAACAGAGCATCAACAGACTTCATCGATTTTTTGGACGGGGGTTAAAACTGCTTTTATGCGAATCGGGGGAAGCAGTGACATTGAAGGATCTTGGTAAGTGCCAAGGCTATCGTTGAATACTTCAGGTAAATTGCTGATGACCTATTGAATGGGTCTCTGGGTTACTGTGGATCCGATTACAAAGATGCCCATGAATGAAACCAGCTGCGCCTCAAGAGGTTGGTACGACGGCCTTCCGAAACAAGCAATGGCAGGGAATGATGTTTGTCACCATAACGCACATTGATATGGCAACTGCCTATTTCAATTCAAAAATTTTCCCCTGAAAGGAATTAGATAGACTATTCTAACAAGAAATGTATGATGTGCAGGAGTAAGCAACTACTAATTTGATGTAGAGAGCATATATTTTAAATTAAATAAATAATGTAATAGTAAAACATTTTCATGCTTCTTTTGCATATTTTAAACAGTGACACTGAATTAAAACATTGTTCTGAAAATGCATAAACTATGAAATAAATATTAATTACAGATATCAAGTAAACTATCCTTATTCAATTCTATAATATACCCAAATCAAAATTACTTTCACATTATACCATAATACCAATACAAAAATAATACAAAATTCAACTTAACAATATAAAAATAATTACCAAAACATTAAAAAAAGAGCAATGAATAGCCTTCACTAAACACAGCAATTCTCATTATATTACTAAGTTAAGTAGCAAAGAACTTAAACAGTACCCTGGTTGGAGTGCTACAATTGGAATTGGAGTCATATCAGGAATAAAATAGGAAAGAATTGGTAACAGAAAAGACAGTTAGTTGCAAAACACAAAAACATAGTGATGCCATGAAAATTAAATTAATAATAATGAAGAATGAGAGAAACTACCATATTAACAATAACATATNTTCCGAAACAAGCAATGGCAGGGAATGATGTTTGTCACCATAACGCACATTGATATGGCAACTGCCTATTTCAATTCAAAAATTTTCCCCTGAAAGGAATTAGATAGACTATTCTAACAAGAAATGTATGATGTGCAGGAGTAAGCAACTACTAATTTGAGGTAGAGAGCATATATTTTAAATTAAATAAATTAAAAATATTAAAATTGAGGCCGGCCATTGTGTCCATGTCACAATAAATATTTGCTCGTTTGGATTGTCTTCTTACATGTACCGTATAACTAGAGTCTATTGTATTTGAAAAATTTATATTTTTATTAGAGTTCATAATTCTTTGTTTTATCAGTAGTTTCTAATTATGACAAATACGTAAATCAATTAATCAAACGTTTCATTTATTAGTACCTCTTAAGAGTTTTAATTTCGTGTTTTACTTCCGCTATTCTGTTTCCATATACAAAGGAATAATGTTTTCTATTCGTTGATTCCATTTCGTGAAACGTATCCTATGCACTTCCGCACTCAAAACAGTTCCATAAGAGAAATTTTATTGACCACCTATATTTCGAGGCATTCATTATTCGCTCACTCATTGGCCAGCTTGAAGTTAATCACGAAACGACACAATGTTTCAGCACTTATTAAATGCATTCGTGTCTAGTAGGTGAAGCAACAAACATTAAGTGTATAAAATTATGCATAGATATATTTGCATCATACAATAAAATGTAAATGGTCCGATGGCCGAGCGATCAAGATGGCAGCCTAGCACTCTAAGTAACGCGGAATCGAATATGGACGTGGTCGGAAATCTCCAGGAATTTTTCAGGTGATGGTCCGTTCGGATATTTCGGGTCCCACCTCTCACCACCTGGCCGCCCCATTGCGGGTCCAGTCGAACCTATAATGGGCCTACTAAAAGAGGCTCTCTGAGTGCCCATAGAGCGAATAGTTAAAAAAGTAAATAGAATTTATATGTACACAAACAAGAGTATACTGATTACGCATATTTCACAATTTTATGATAGGGTGACTTGTTTTTATAATTAGGGTCATACGCAAACACGTGTCCACCACAATTGCTGTTTTATTTGCACACCAGGTCATTTAACATTTACAGCAGAAATCTGAGGATCTCCGAAATTAAACTGGGAAAAGGACGAATTTATTATATTAGTCATGAATTATAGTGGCAGAGAATAATAAAGATTGTACAAATATAATAAAAAAAGGAATATTTTCTATTTAATAAATATATAAAAAAATAAACTTGTGGCCATAAAATAACCGATCGCTACATAGCATAATTCTCATGTAATTTTGAACATTATTGATGCACATTTATACGTCACGTAATTTATTTGCGAAAATGGAACGCGATTGGTAAAGTTAGAAGAGTCATATATATTGAAAAACTATAAAACGCTATTAATAAACTGTCACTTTCCGTTGAGCGACCAACACCAAAAGTCGATCAAATCGAGATATTGATGAAGAAAAAAAAAAAGTTAAATATTGAATTTTCCATCAATCCGTTCAGTATAACACGTGTGCATACACAAGTGAAAACATATTGGAGGAGTCAATTTTGTTCTGATCTATCGAAATCTGAACATCCAAAATACCTGATTACAATACTGGTATCTTCCTTATGAGTGGCTGTCAGTAAAACTTGAATTATGATCTAGGTACCGTCCACACCTGTTCTTATTAGAACACCCATATAAGTAGCCCGATTAGTAAATACCTGGATTGATGACAGTCTAGGGAAAATTTGGATATTGCTACCAATTAAGCGAGATAACCAATTAGTAATGGATGCCCTGTATGTAAATCCCGTCTCAGTTCGTATTTTCCTGTCTAAATTTAAAAACTTGTCTAGGGAGCCGATCACCCCTAAATCTGGGCACTTTATATAAATTATAAAAACACCGTTAAAATTTTTGTCACTATTAAATCTATAGTAGCATTGACTAAAAAATACTTGTAAACAATATAAAACAGAATTTAATCTACATATTAAAATCTATTAAATGGACATGTTTTGGTAAATACTGTATATATTTTTTTATATTATTCACAATTAATTTTACAGTAGAGCCTCGATTAACCGACCGCCCTAGTCGGCAAATTTCAAATGTCCGCTAGTGATGTGGCGCTACAATATTTGGCTATGTCTTGGCTACTTTAATATTATTTTTACGTGTTTTAGCTGGCAACACTCATTCGACCATGAAAGGGAGCCAGTATTTCAAGGCTTACTTTTCTAATTTTTAACGATACAATAGCGACGATTATTACTTTCAAAAATATTTGTTAGGCTTAACATCGATGAAAATTCAACGCGAAGTAGATTAATAGCGATATACTAATATACTAATTACATGGGATATAATAATATACTACACTAATAATGGATTTTTTCATACTTTTCGGTTATCCGACTTTTCAATTATCCGACCAACCAGAGTCCCCAATTGAGTCGGATAATCGAGTCTCTACTGTATAAAAATTAAGTAGAGATAGTTATATGAATATTTAGATACAGAAGAGTTATAACAAAAACTCATTTTTCAGAAGATTTTTAATCCATAGAAAAGCAATAAGTTATTGGCATAACTTCCTTTAAAAAAAAAAGATTAAATATCAGCGATTTGGTTCCGTGGTGTTTTTTGGAATGACAAGTTCATTATTTTCAGGAAAAAATCTGTGAAAAATTTTAAATCATATCTATACACAATTCTGAAAAATAGAATGTTTTTTTTCCTCAGAGAAGTAATTCATCTTGTCCTAATTTTAACCTAGCAAACTGATTAGCTACGTCCATGGCTTCTAAAAGAGCGGAAGGTTTACAACCTGTGGCCTGGGCAGACTCGTCTTTTCCGCCACCTTTCCCATGAATTATGCCAGTTATTTGCTGTATCCATTCGTTTGCTTTTAAACCTCTCGCCACTGCCTCCTATTAAAAGCAAATTTTATTGATATATCATAAAACTTTAAAATAATTATTTACTTTAAATTGTGTAATCATACCTTAGGTACTGAACTAAGACAAATAATTTTTCCTGTTTCACGATCCACACTGAAAAACATAGCTGAGGTTTCAGGTGATAGAGATTTTACTTGTTTCAAAGCTGCATCTAATGCCTGTAAGTGTGCAAATAAATATATATGTAAATATACAGGGCGAGTCAAAAGTCACTTGCACCCTTTTTATTATTACTGTATTTGTACCCTTGTACTGAAGATATTAATTTTCTTAATGTAGTAACTTCCTATCTTCAGTACATTTGGAATAAAAAGGGTGCAAGGGAGTTTTGATTCAACCTGTATATTTACAGGTTGAATCAAATATTCAACCTGTAAATATACAGGTTGAATATTTGATTCAACCATTCCTANGGATCTTTTATATAATATAAAAATAATTATATATAATTTGCAATATAAACAGTAATTGTTTTACCTTTGCATTGCCAAAAGCTTTTAATTCATGAACCATAAATTTTAGTTTGGAATTACTCTGAATAATATTTTTAGTTTCTTCAACCACCTAAATACAATAATTTTTAAAATAAATGGAATGGGAATAAAGGAAAAAGTTAATATGTCTGAAATTTACTTCTTGTAAAATAGCAGCTTTTTGTGCACGTTCCATGTCATCTAATTGTTTTTTAAGATTTTTCAAATTATTCCTCATTTCTTCTTTCTTCCAGTATGAAATATTTGACTTTGAAATATCCTTTGACAAAAAAGATTATTATTATTATGTAAATTATAAATAAAAAAATAATAATAAATTTAGCAAAATTTACCTCTGTAAGTTCAACAATTTTTTTTACAATTTCTTTTCCAGAAATTTTTCTATTTTTATCATTTACTAATTTTTGTATTTTTTCTACATCTTGCTCATAAATTTCAGCTTTCCTGATAGCCTAAATAATGATTTTAAACATTTAAATTTATGTTTAAAAACTATCAAATTTTTAAATTGATTTATACAAATCTTTCAAATCATAAAATAATTTATTCTTACTTTAGAAGCTTCAGGTCCTGTCAAAGCAACGATTCTTCTAATACCTTTGGCAATTGCTTCTTCACTTGCAATCACAAAATCACCAATATGACCACTTCTTTTTAAATGACTAAAACAATAATAATTTTCTCATTATAAAATGTATTCATCATAAATATCTAAAGTAATGAAAAATCAATATAAATGAATTTTAAAGCTCTTACGTTCCACCACAGAATTCTACAGATGTAGTGGAACCACCAGGACCACAGGGATCAGCTATCAGATCATCTACAGGTATGCCAACAGACACAACTCTCACAGGATCAGGATAAGTCTGATAACGAGAAATTATCAGTTATGATTATTTCTAAAATTTAAATTAATGAATTATTATTTACCTCATTAAAAACTGCTCTTAATCCTTGAATGGCTTTAGCAAGAGGTAAAGGACACTCTTTAGCATAAACTTCTTGATTCTTATTAATTACTTCATTTGCAACCATTTCTGTTTCTTGAATTTGATTAACTGTCATAGCACCCTAACATGTATATTTTTATATTTAGTTTATTTTTGACATTATAAGTTTATAAAGATTTCTACATACCTTATTTGTAAAATCAAACCGCAATCTGTCAGGAGCAACAAGAGACCCTCTCTGATCTGCATCAGATGACAAAACCTTACGAAGAGCAAAATTAAGAATGTGGGTACCTGTATGATTATTCATAACCAATTTTCTCCTTTCCTAAATGATAAATAAAATTGTTTTATATAATAAATTACTAAACAAAAATTAATTTTAAATTAAAAACTAAATTAGTCACCTCATCAATAAATAATTTTACTTGATTACCAACTGCTAATTTTCCACCAATGTTGCCTATATGAACAACATAACCTCCCTGTATATGAACTTCCTTTACATTAAACTCAACATCCTAAAAATATAATAATCAATTTATGATATACCAGTTGATACAAATTGTAATGGACTCAAACTTTATTTAAAAATTATTACTTACTTCATCAGATTCCTTTACCATGAATCCAATGTCATAAATTTGTCCACCTGCTTCTCCATAGAAGCAAGTTCTATTTAAGATTACACCACATTCATCACCATTATTTACTTCATCCACAAACATTTTGTTTTTCCTTAAAGCAACAACTTCACCAGTACAACCCTCAAATTCTAAAATTCATCAGTTATAAACAGAAAATTAGTGTTTTTGATACAGAATTAAATGGACATCTTGTATATTTCTTAATATATACAAGATAATTCATAAAAATTACTTTTAGGAAAAAATTATACCATATTTTGAATTTTTGTCATCATACAATGCAACATAGCTATATTTAGGTAAATCATAAGTGGGAGAAATTCCTTTCTGTTGTAATTCAGATATAGCATGGACATCTAATTTTATGTTGTCTTCTTGTCCCTCTACTTTACCTTGAGATGCTAACTATTTAATTAATTCATTTATTTTATAATGCACAATATATTCACAAATTATAAATTAAATTATCACAAAGTTTATATACTATACCTGTGCCTGTTTCTTAGCAACTTCATAGCCTGTCATATCAATTGTAAGACCTTTCTCTTCAATCATTAATTGTGTAAGATCAATCGGAAATCCATAAGTATCATAAAGCCTCCAAGCAATATCACCTTAAATATATATATTAATAATGATGNATTTGATTAATAAACATATTAAATTATTGAATTACAGGTATCTCTCATACAATATGATTTTACTCTAATATGGTTTGAGAACTGAAGACATCCCATACAAAATGTCACAATTTTTAACTGCAAACAGTCATTTGATATTTTTTTTTTATTCAAGTAAGCATGCATGTTGTCTCATACTATATTTGCCCATGGATTTTAGAATACTGAAATTTTTTATGTTGTTTTGTACCTATTGACTGTACACTTTTTCTTCTTCCTTCTCCTAATTTCCAATTCCAGCTTTCCTATAAACCTGTTGTTGCTGTCATTGGTGATAGTGCTCTAAATGAACCCAAAAGACTGTTGATGTGTTTTGTTTTTCAGATTAAATTAAAAAGTTACTACATAAAAAGATTAAATTTTTAAAGATTTCTTAGGCAAATGCAAACAAATAAAAATATTAGATTTTATGAAAAAGTAGAGAAAAATCAAGATATTGCTAATACTTCAGATTAATGTCAACAAGAAAGCTCATAAGATGATATATATAAGCAAAAAAAAAAGGTCCTCATTTAATGATGTTTAGCAATGAAGAAAAAAATTAATGTTAATGTACAATACTTTTGATAGTAATTGCTAGTTAATTATTGATTGCTTTAATAAACATATTTCTCTTAATTATGAAAAAGAATAGTATACTTTTGCTAACTTTTGAAACCTATATTTTGTACTAATCCTTTGTTTTGTAGCACAAATTCACATAAGCACTTTTTCAAACCTAACTACCTGTTATATGTGGGATATCTGTATATAAATAACAACCACCCAATACATCAAAATTTCCAAACAGTCTGCTGTATTTTTATCAGGCTAATTTAGCCTTAACAAATATCTGCTTGTTTTTACCAAACTATCATAGTTTTTATATTGTTTCTGGGATTATTACTCAGTACAATGTATTACTATTCAAATCATTACTTGATTGAAATTATTGTATAGAATTCACAGAACTTACTTTACTTGTAAAACTCAACAAATTTTGAGAAACATGAGAAACACTGATATAAAATATAACAAAATATAACAAAAATGTATCAATCACTTCATCCCTACAAAATCAACAATTTTTACAAAAATGAACGATGATTTTAAAACTTAGTTTCACTTTCTAAATAAGAAATCTTTCAAGCTATAAATTGGTTAATGTATAAAACTGTGATATTCAAAACTAATTGATTATTTAGGAATCTTTACAACTTTTAAAATTAATGTATTGTTTATAATAGACCATAATATAAAAAATATAAGAGTAGCAGACACAAGGTATTTAGTATACCAGTATTGAACAAAAGACCTGTTGAAAAACATAAAAACAATAAAATTTGAATAATTTTAAAATAATTACTATTGAGTATTATTTAAATGTATTTAATTTTAAAATCTGCCTTAAAATATTTTATAGAAATGCAGTTTTTTTTATATTGAAAAAAAATGTGTTTGTTTATGATAAAAAATGAAAATTTAATTAAATGTGAACTTATGTTTGATAGTATCAGTAACGGCATTCTGAAATTAAGTTAAATTAGAAATAACTTTTGACTTAGTAAATCAAATTAATTGATCACAGAAGAGAAAAACTTTAATAATCAAGATAAATATTAGCGATTAAGTCTTGCTGACATCAATAATGATGCAGAATATTTAAAATATTGCATGACACTCTTGGATTTGTGGTGTTATAACTTATCATTTATGATATATAAATATTTCTTAAAATTAATCAAGTTAAATGTTTAAAATTTAAATGCTTTATTAATAAGTATGTGTGCAACTTATTTAGGAAATTTCTAAGCTTTCTATTTGTAAGAAAATATTTATGAATGAAAGGACAGACTATCATTTACAATTAAATAAAAACAAATTGTATAATACATTTAACAATCAATAAAAATAAAAATTTACCAATAATTCAACTACAACTGGTACTAAACTTGCAAATGTTCCTGGTTTGCCATTCAACTTCTCTGTTGCATATCTTACAGCTCTTCGTAAAATTCTTCTTAAAACATACCTATTAAAACAAAGCCAAATAATTTATACTTTTAGCTAAAATTTAATCATTATTTAAAGAATTAATAAATATTATACCCTCTTCCAGTATTATCAGGACGTCCACCATCAGCTAAAGCAATTGTTAATGTCCTTGCATGATCAGCTAAAACCCTATAAGCCATATCAATTCCATCAGTATCATCCTTTCCAACTCGTCCCTCATATGGTCTTACATTAGTTGCCTATTATCATTTTAAAATTAAAAATCCTGCATAATCTTCATTAAATTATTTATCAATTCTAAATAATATTTACCTTTTGAATAGCATCAAACAATGGCAAAAACAAATCAGTATCATAATTAGATGGTTTTTCTTGTATAACAGATACTAATCTTTCTAAACCCATACCAGTATCAACATGCTTTTTAGGCAATAATTTTAATGAGCCATCACTTTCTCTGAAAATAGCATATTTATGTGCAATTAAAGTTTGAATATTTTAGTTGTCATTAGTTTAAAAAGTTAAATTAACTTTTAATATAATAATTTTAATTTCTGATATAACTACTGTAAAATCATATTATAATTTTTTGCATTATAAATAATTATTTATGCTATTAATACTTACCTATTAAACTGAATAAACACTAAATTCCAAATTTCTAAAACATCTGGTACATCAGCATTTACTAAATGTTTAGCATCACGCCCACCAATACGATCAAAATGAATTTCTGAACAAGGACCACAGGGGCCTGTTTCCCCCATTTCCCAGAAGTTATCTTTCATTCCAAATGGCAAAATACGATCTTCTGGAACACTGGAATATCATAGCATATGTAATAATATGAAAATGACTAGTTTTGAGAACAGAATTCTAAGATAACAATAATAAAGCAATAATGAAAAATACACCTTACCCAACTTCTTTCCATATGTCACGACATTCCAAGTCAGGCTCCAATCCCAGATCTGCACATCCACCAAAATATGTCACATAAAGGCGATTGCTATCCAGACCATATACTTCAGTTAACAACTCCCAAGACCAATGACATATCTCTCTCTTTTGTTACAAAATTAAATAAAATAATTCATCAATAACCAACTTTTAAGCAATATATAATAAATAATTTAGAATTTAAAATTATATTATATTAATTTGATTAATAAACATATTAAATTATTGAATTACAGGTATCTCTCATACAATATGATTTTACTCTAATATGGTTTGAGAACTGAAGACATCCCATACAAAATGTCACAATTTTTAACTGCAAACAGTCATTTGATATTTTTTTTTTATTCAAGTAAGCATGCATGTTGTCTCATACTATATTTGCCCATGGATTTTAGAATACTGAAATTTTTTATGTTGTTTTGTACCTATTGACTGTACACTTTTTCTTCTTCCTTCTCCTAATTTCCAATTCCAGCTTTCCTATAAACCTGTTGTTGCTGTCATTGGTGATAGTGCTCTAAATGAACCCAAAAGACTGTTGATGTGTTTTGTTTTTCAGATTAAATTAAAAAGTTACTACATAAAAAGATTAAATTTTTAAAGATTTCTTAGGCAAATGCAAACAAATAAAAATATTAGATTTTATGAAAAAGTAGAGAAAAATCAAGATATTGCTAATACTTCAGATTAATGTCAACAAGAAAGCTCATAAGATGATATATATAAGCAAAAAAAAAAGGTCCTCATTTAATGATGTTTAGCAATGAAGAAAAAAATTAATGTTAATGTACAATACTTTTGATAGTAATTGCTAGTTAATTATTGATTGCTTTAATAAACATATTTCTCTTAATTATGAAAAAGAATAGTATACTTTTGCTAACTTTTGAAACCTATATTTTGTACTAATCCTTTGTTTTGTAGCACAAATTCACATAAGCACTTTTTCAAACCTAACTACCTGTTATATGTGGGATATCTGTATATAAATAACAACCACCCAATACATCAAAATTTCCAAACAGTCTGCTGTATTTTTATCAGGCTAATTTAGCCTTAACAAATATCTGCTTGTTTTTACCAAACTATCATAGTTTTTATATTGTTTCTGGGATTATTACTCAGTACAATGTATTACTATTCAAATCATTACTTGATTGAAATTATTGTATAGAATTCACAGAACTTACTTTACTTGTAAAACTCAACAAATTTTGAGAAACATGAGAAACACTGATACAAANTATAAATATATATTAAATATAATTACTTACTATTTTTGCATTTTTTACTGCATTTAGTGTTTTCTTGAGAATGTGGATCATCTATAAGAAAATATATTTAAATGTTAAGGTATAAAATAATTACTTTTTAAACTGAGAACTAAGAAGTCAAATAGATTACAATTTATATGAAATATATAACTTACTTGCAAAGACAGTTCCCATAAAAAAGAGAAATATGAATAATAGTTTTAAGTCCATGATAATGTATGATATAATTGCAGAGAACTGTTCTAAATTTCCTCTGTCTACAATCTGAATAAGCATTTCGAACATCGATATTTTTATAAAGATTTTTGTATGATATAATTGCAGAGAACTGTTCTAAATTTCCTCTGTCTACAATCTGAATAAGCATTTCGAACATCAATAATTTTATAAAGATTTTTATCTCAATGTGACTATATCTATTCATAGTTAATATTACTCAGCCAACTCCACCCATAAACCAGTTTTCATATTGTCATTGACCAGTCTACATTTATTGTTTACTACTGGATTTTTGAATAGCTGTTTATCTCTACTAACTTTTTAAACAGATATTTAAAAACAAAACAATATAACTAAAAAATCTGGCAAGGGTTCTTGCTTGACTTTCCTGGCACACAAACAGCAGGAAGTTCAATTATTTTAAATTATATAAGGGATATAAAATTTCAGTAATAACAAAAACTTAAAAGAAATAAATCTGTTGAATTATGAAAAAATTTCCATTTAAAAAAAAAATATTTAAGTTTAAAAACATTAAGACTAGCTCAAAGTTAAAAAATTGTATGTGGCACCATCTGCTATGAGATGTTATTAAAAAATAACTTTTACATTAATTAATTATTAAGATTTCAACTTTAAGTTAAAGTTGAATTTTTAAAAATATTGTAAATTCCAATATTGAATAAAATTTCATTAAGTCTGATATCATATGAGATAAGATAAATGACCCATCTATCTCCTCACCCTCTTGAGTTACACACTCCAAAATTTAATATCATCAATGCCCCTTATATACAATTTACCATACCAAATTTTGTTTCTTAATCTTGATCCATTCCATTCTGAAATATTAAATGAAACAAATGCCAACACACACACACATCCCAGGAATTTCCCCCTTTTTTAACTTTCTGGGTTCAGAGTCCAAAAATGCCAAGATTTGCAAAAATCCCAGAGTGTCAAATATGACACAATTACAATACTTTCCTGTGTTATGTGCCAGTACATAAGAGCAAAGAAAGTAAAATATAAATTTGAAAAATTTCATACAAGTCAAAAATTATGTAATGCATGTTTTTTACTGTCTCCCAAATACAATCAAAAAAATTTGCAATCTGATTCTAAATCAAATCATGTATGAAAACATATTTATGAGTTATAGGAACAAAAACAGAGTTTATTGAGTTAGGATTAAATAAAATCTGATGAAAACAATTGTCAATAATTATAAACCGATAATTATAGACATTCATATACTGTATTTATTATATAGACTGCATAATAATAGATAAATATTTTGCTATTATATGTAAATAGTCTCATCAAATAAACCAAGCATAAACTAAGAAGTCTTAAGTGAATGTCTTAATATCATTATTTTTGTTAGATTTTTGTGTTAATCTATGTAGCATGTCACTAGCTACTAACTGCAATAATATAATTTAAATGTAAAACGTTTTTCAGTACATGAAAAAATTAATTTACATTTTTAACTACTGTACTATTGTTCCAGGAACTGTTTTTGTATAAACTGAAATATTTTCAAGATATTCTGTTCAAACAAATCAAATATTAAGATATACAGGTAAAAAACAACTTACGTACAAATTATAGAGCTCTAAATTAACAGTTATTAAAAAAAATTAAACAATATTAAAACAAAATATCACTATTTAATATATTAATTATAGAAAGAAATTGTTAAGTTAGTTTTAATGTTTAAGAATTTAAGAATTGTTCAAAATACATGCATTTCTATTTTATGAATATTCATTTTTCTGTTAATAAAATACAAATAAGGCATATTCATATTCATAATTCATATTAAACATGTTTTGTAGCTGTATTACAAATAGCCATAAAACATGCTTAATATGAGTTTGATTCTCAAAGAATTTAAACAAATCTCTGTTTAAATTCTAAGTCTAATATTATAATTTGTTAAGTTGTTAAAATTATAAGTCTAATCTTCATTTCTATAATCAGCTGTATAATACAAAAATAATTTTATAGCAAGAATCTTACCTTAAAAAAATCTCCAAAAGACCAATTTCCTAACATTTCAAAAAAGGTATGATGATAAACATCTTTGCCTACATCATCTAAATCATTGTGCTTCCCACCAGCACGAATGCATTTCTGCGTATTAACAGTTCTAACATACTTTGCAGCATCACTATTAGGATCTACTGTTCCCAAAAATATTGGTTTAAACTGAAATAAGTAAATTTGTATTTTAATATGAATAAAATAAAAGTTTTTATATGAGAAATAAATATCTAACCTGGTTCATTCCAGCATTAGTAAACAACAAAGTTGGATCCTCATGAGGAATAACTGATGAAGAATGCACATATTGATGGTCATATCTTTCAATAAAAAAATTCATAAACTTTTGTCGAATTTCTTTCGCAGACAGTTTAGTTTCCATGTTTTCTTTATCTTCACTACAAAAAATTATCACATTATCCCAGTTAGCATATTGTAATTAACATTGTATAAAAATAAAAAATTTTCCAATATTAGGATTTATTTAATGTACACATGTTCAATGTAAAAAATTTCTGTTGAACCAAACACATTAAATTTTCTATATAATATATAAATCCAGTCTATTTATAATCTGATGTTAAAAATTGGAGGTATGCAGGAACAAATATAAAAAACTTTGCTTTTAAGACAGGCTGTTTAAAAAGGTACATTAATTGCCCTCAAATAGTTTTAGATGATATGCATACACAAGTAGTTATGTGCCGGATTGATAAAAATGTATATCCACGGATACAGACACAGATACGGATCATTAGTGTCTAGATCCGCGGATACAGATATGGATCTCAACTTTCATACTCAGTCGGCACCGGTGCTTGTGACCTTGGACCAATAGTTGACGCTTTGCGTTAGTAACACAACACGTTTTGACTTGCACTGCACGTTTTTGTTTATAGTTTAGTGTGACATGGGATAGCATACATACATTTTAAAAATACATACATTTGTGTTTTTGGAGAGTGTTGAGTTAAATTAAAATAAAAACATGTCGACAAAAAAGTTTAGTAGTGTAATATGGAAATATTTTACGATAGTAAATGAATTTTGCATGATAAAATTTTTGCAATATGAATGTGCCAAATATGTGATTTTAAGAAATAAAAAGTGATTTGAATTGAAGTTATTAGTATTTTATTGCTTCCTATCTTTAAAATTTCATATAAATAATGAAATTCATTAAGATAAAAAATCCGTTAAAGATCCGCTAAAAAGTAATGGATACGGATCTTTTTTCCCTCAGATATCCGCAGATATGGATATAGATAGATATCCAGCACATCACTATACACAAGTAAAGCATTATGCTTTTTGAGCTTTTCAATTAGTTTACAAAAATAATGTTTTTTTTTCCTAGAAATCATTAATTTGTACTTTTTACAGAATTTAAAATTTTATTAAAAATTATTTTTAAAATATTAGTATCATTCATGATTTTAAAAATTATATATACTGTAGTTCTTCAATTAAATTCCACACAGGCTATTTTTAAAATGTATGTATCCTCATGGTTTACTACATTGCAACAAGAGATGAGTGAGTAAATTGAAATACTCTAATTACTTGTACATTTTCTGGGCTGTCAAAACCATTTATTAACTGTATTTAAGTGTTAACATTAAAAAATAATTATGTTTTCAAGTTAACCTGATTCAGCATCATCTAATTTGGTTATTATGTTATCATTCATGTCTGCTTTGATGTTGTAGGAATCAAGATCTTGACTACCCTCTTCTAGTTCAAACTCATCCAAAGAGATGGTGAGATTGAACCAGTTTTTTTAATTATCCTTTGACTGATAAGCTCTCAACTTATCATAACTTTCTGATATTCAATTTATAATTTTATTTAAAAAAAAATATTTCTGTGAATGTTGGAACAGGAAGTGCCATCTGACTAGACATTTGAAAAAGTAGTTTTAGTTTAACTCCTTACCTGCACTCTAAACTACATTACACAGAGCAGTGCTTAAATGTGTTTCCCATACTTTTCAACCCCAGGTTTATTTGAGACCAGAGTTTATTCTTAACAGCACCTTTATTCCCCAAGGTTTATTTGACTCCCAGGGTTTAATCAAGTATACATGGTACATGACATGTAGTTTTTAAAACAAAAGTTTTTATTCAAAAAGATCTGTTTAAATACTACTTCAATGATATATTACATTGATTGAAAATGGTAAGATAAGCAAATGAGAAAAATGTGCACTTAATAATTTATTATTCAATAATTCAGTTCCATTCTCCATGTTAAATTTCATTTTATAAGCATATGAATATTTATATTGTCACAAATAAACAAATACAAAACAAACAATAATACATCACTTGATATATACACAAATGAAATAATCTAAATCATAAATAAAGTACATTTGACACAATGGACTAATATAGTCTTTACATTTTGTGGCCCACCCAAGTGGTTCCATTCCTTGAACACTGGGAGTTCAGACGTGGGTTCACGCCTCGCAGGACGGGCTACCAACATGGAATTTTCCAGATTTTCTCCACGTCTGTACACCTGAATAGGGGCCAGTTACCTTTAAAAAGACCCCCCAGAAGGCATCCCCCTAGGCAGATCGTCCAAGTGTTGCACTGCCATAATTTAATAAAACAAACAAACTTTGCATTTTGTCAGTAGCACATTATAGCTTCGGGATCACCCAGGCAAATCTGAATTAGGGGGCCCACATACAGTGTTGACTTCAGATAACTTTCTTCAGGGAAACTTTTAAGGAAAATATTTTCTTATAAAAAATTGATTTGCTGCCCCAGGCAATTGCCCTTTTTGCCTGTCAGATAACACACCACTGCATTTTGACCTATTATTAATGTGTAAAACAGCAAACTATATATTAAATCATAAATAAAAATGTAAATTAATGAAATAAATAATGAAATGCCGATTCAGCACGGATAATATTCAAAAATCACAATCATCAAGTATCATTCGATTGATATAATTGACCATTTGAAATTTATTAAATGATCATTTATACTATAAATAATCATTTAATAAGAATCTGACTAAAGCTCATTCTATTTTGAAATTCAGAAAAACATTACATCATCCACTCATAATTCAAAAATTTAATTACAAAATAACCAATTATAACAATCAAATAAAATTTCAACATCAGACAGAAGCAGACATTGGATAATCACAGACAACGTGTGAATGAGGATTTAAAGATTGCATGCGGCAATCCATCTGCAATATGGATCAAAACTCTGTACACATGATTAAATATTCTGTAATAATTTCACACAAATACAAGGATCACGTCATTATATTAATCAATAACTTGTTATTAACATCGATTTCATTTTTAAAATAAGTACCTTTAAACAATTCAAAATCCTTTCCAGCCGCAAAATACCAAAATGCTCTTTTTTTCTCTCACTTCGTACATCTGCCATCTGGCGATAAAAATTATTTAAATTAAACTATTTCTTGTATTTTTGTTTATTTCAACTAATATAAAGCATTAAATATCTAATATAATATAAAATAAATATTTACTTATATAATTATAAATATCTCGACATATTTTAAAATTTTAATAATATTTATTTTAATAATAAAAAAAAGTACAAAAGAATTTTAAAATTAATTGATATTAATTTATAATAACAAACCATTAAGATTTATTTATAACTTTAAAAGTTAAATTGTTATAAAATTAAATTATGTAAATATTTTTATTTGATGTTTACCTCCTAGCGGAGAAAAATCTTTTCAGCCAGTAACGTTCTGAGTTTTTCGATTTTAAACGTAATGGCGGTAACGACTTTTTCTTGTTTTGTTTAGTTCGGAAAGTTCTTTAAAGTGGCCTTTTCAGGTATAAATACTTTTCAAAATTACTTTTATAATACTATAATGTCACAAAATGTTATATGTGAACATGATTTTGACGAAAACGTGGTAGACGTTATTTTTAGATACATGTATATACAGTACTCATGTATACTCAAATTACCTTATGGCTTCTACTTTAAGCGATGTATATTTATCTTGATATTAGAACATATGACAGAAAATATGTGATTATATTCAATAGATATCTGATGTTTGATATTTTATAGTTTAGTTCTCTACAGGTTAGAAGGACAATATAATTGTCATAAATATTTTGAATTGATAATTACATAAATTTTATAAAATTTATCAATAACCAATAAATTAATCAGATCCAGATAATCTTATGTAAGTTTCCATGTTTTTATAAATGTAAGGATTTATATCGAAATTGAATTTTGAAATGAATTCATTATTTCATTTTTATTTGGTTTTAATTAATATAAACTACAGTCTTCAATTGAATATTAATCAGTCGAACAATGTAGTGAAAAGAGTAAAAAGAAATTTTAATATAAAGTAATTACATAATACACAGTAGACCAGCGGCGGCCTTATCCATTGCGAGGCTCTGGGCGGCAGATCTTTGCGAGGCCCTTGTCCTTTGTGCAAAGTATGTGAATTGAAATAGTAGGCACTTATTAATATTAATATATACTGTACTATAAATTAAATTTATTTTATTGTTATAACTAATAGCCAAGGATAAAATAAAAAGTTTTAAATATCAACTTTTTTCTACTTGGTTGTTGCGCGAGGCCCCGGGCGATTGCCCTGCTCGCCACCCCCTAAGGCCGCCACTGCAGTAGACTACATAATGCAATAAAGTATATCAATGGCATGTGGTGACATCTGATGGTAGGGAAGCTGTGCCAGCCCTGGATAGAATTGTTGGAAGCATTATATGATGGTGTGTAGCAACCACCAGCTAAACCGCATGAGGTTGATGCTCTGTAACGTGCATGCGCAAATGCATATAATCTGGCTGCTTTATATGATTCAAATATTTTGGCCATGAAATGGCGCTTTCGCTGGGAATATGCATATACAAATTTATATTCGAATATACAATAGCAATCTTATTGTTTTTTTTTTCACATATAGTATAGAAATTTGTAATAAGATACCTAATGTGGTTATAATTTGTCATGATAACATATATAAAGGGCATTGATGCTATTAAATTTTGGTAGTTGAAGATCAAGGTTGTGGGGAGATAACTCAAATAGGGTCAGACTTAATGAAAATTTTATTTATTGGTATTTACAATTTTTTAAAAAACTCATTTCTACCCTCAAAATTAAGCTTTTTTCCTTTTTATAATAATTAATAATATAAAAGTTATTTTTTAATAAAATGTCATAATAGATGATAACATAGACAACTTTTACTTTTTTTTAATGTATATTATTTAGTTCGGCTTCTACCTGCTAAGATTTTTTTGTTTCTTAAACACAAAAAAATCTTAGCAACATGTTGCATAACTTTCCTAGCTTTGTCAGGAATGTCATGCAACTCATTGCTGAACTTTTTTTTTTTGTCTTAGAATATCTAATTGCCTGAATATTTGATCATTATTTTCTCTGTGATTTTCATTGAATGAAATGTATCTGAATATTAATTTTGACATCATTTGTAAAATTAACCATCATCATATGAAATTATGTCCTGTTATTAATTAATAATCTCTCATTCATATTTAATAGTAANTAGTTTAGTTCTCTACAGGTTAGAAGGACAATATAATTGTCATAAATATTTTGAATTGATAATTACACAAATTTTATAAAATTTATCAATAACCAATAAATTAATCAGATCCAGATAATCTTATGTAAGTTTCCATGTTTTTATAAATGTAAGGATTTATATCGAAATTGAATTTTGAAATGAATTCATTATTTCATTTTTATTTGGTTTTAATTAATATAAACTACAGTCTTCAATTGAATATTAATCAGTCGAACAATGTAGTGAAAAGAGTAAAAAGAAATTTTAATATAAAGTAATTACATAATACACAGTAGACCAGCGGCGGCCTTATCCATTGCGAGGCTCTGGGCGGCAGATCTTTGCGAGGCCCTTGTCCTTTGTGCAAAGTATGTGAATTGAAATAGTAGGCACTTATTAATATTAATATATACTGTACTATAAATTAAATTTATTTTATTGTTATAACTAATAGCCAAGGATAAAATAAAAAGTTTTAAATATCAACTTTTTTCTACTTGGTTGTTGCGCGAGGCCCCGGGCGATTGCCCTGCTCGCCACCCCCTAAGGCCGCCACTGCAGTAGACTACATAATGCAATAAAGTATATCAATGGCATGTGGTGACATCTGATGGTAGGGAAGCTGTGCCAGCCCTGGATAGAATTGTTGGAAGCATTATATATGATGGTGTGTAGCAACCACCAGCTAAACCGCATGAGGTTGATGCTCTGTAACGTGCATGCGCAAATGCATATAATCTGGCTGCTTTATATGATTCAAATATTTTGGCCATGAAATGGCGCTTTCGCTGGGAATATGCATATACAAATTTATATTCGAATATACAATAGCAATCTTATTGTTTTTTTTTTTCACATATAGTATAGAAATTTGTAATAAGATACCTAATGTGGTTATAATTTGTCATGATAACATATATAAAGGGCATTGATGCTATTAAATTTTGGTAGTTGAAGATCAAGGTTGTGGGGAGATAACTCAAATAGGGTCAGACTTAATGAAAATTTTATTTATTGGTATTTACAATTTTTAAAAAACTCATTTCTACCCTCAAAATTAAGCTTTTTTCCTTTTTATAATAATTAATAATATAAAAGTTATTTTTTAATAAAATGTCATAATAGATGATAACATAGACAACTTTTACTTTTTTTTAATGTATATTATTTAGTTCGGCTTCTACCTGCTAAGATTTTTTTGTTTCTTAAACACAAAAAAATCTTAGCAACATGTTGCATAACTTTCCTAGCTTTGTCAGGAATGTCATGCAACTCATTGCTGAACTTTTTTTTTTTGTCTTAGAATATCTAATTGCCTGAATATTTGATCATTATTTTCTCTGTGATTTTCATTGAATGAAATGTATCTGAATATTAATTTTGACATCATTTGTAAAATTAACCATCATCATATGAAATTATGTCCTGTTATTAATTAATAATCTCTCATTCATATTTAATAGTAATATAATAAAAATTTTTAAATGCATTTTTTTTACAAATTAATATAAGGATTCAAACAATTTTTTTTTTGGCTTTAATCTCATTTCTCTCTTAGAATCTTGTTTTAGCTTATATAATAAAGTATAGAATGCTATGTATATAAACTCAATTATGTATGTAATCTGTAGTTACATTTCTACATGTAAAAATGTCCTTTATTATTGTGGATCTATTTATAAGCTTTTTTAATTATAAACAGCTAAAAAATAAATAATTGTTAAATTTATTAGATTTTCTCTTAGAGCAGTTTTGTGTATTAACTGAATAATATAAATTTATCTTATAATTGCTATGTAATATTAAGCAAATAACATTACTAGACACACACTGTCATATGGCATAAAATTTTTTTTTATAATGTAAGTACTTTCAACCATAGAAAATCATCATCATCATCAGTCGAATGTTTTAAAATGGAATTCAAGGCTTGCGAATATGAAAGAAAGAACAAAAGATTTGAAATAAAAGATAAACAAAAACAAAAAGGTACAACAGAACTCTCAAAACATTTTTATGGCATGAGTCCTTGGTGTATTCTTGATTATTGTTGCATGTAGTGATATTCTGTTCTGTATGCCATATTTTGTGTATATTAATTTAAGTCTTATATCATGATTTGTTTATGACTAGTTTATATTTTAATAGCATTAACCTGAGTGATTATTGTAGTTTTGATTTTAAAAATAAGTAGTATGTTTTGGTAGGTTAGTTAATCAGTTATGATGATCTACTTTTACATAAATGAATGAACTTCAAAAATTTTTTATGAAGATCTTTTGAGGAATGAATTGTTTTAAAACAAAAGATGGCATAAATTGTACAAAGCAAAAGATATGTTGATATATCTTTATATTAACTGATCTATAATTCCTAGTTTTTTTATAAATACAGTATATAGTACCACAAACATTTAAACTATACAAAAAGTAGTTTGCAATAGTTATTGAAAAAGCATCTTTCTGCTTTAATCATGTTTTGCTAACAGCAAGAGATTCTAAACTATACTGTTGCTTCAGTCAATTTAGTATTTTCTGTTTATTTTAAATATATTATTCAAATTGAAATCAAACATCTAAAAGTAAAGTAAATTACAATTTAACATTTAATCTATGTATCTACACTAAAATACAGGGCTGTGGAGTCGCGTAAAAATCTACCGACTCCGACTTTTCCTTACCATCTGACTCCGACTCCGACTAAAACACCAAAACTCCACGACTCCGACTCCACAGCCCTGCTAAAATAGAAAGTAATTACAACATTAATAAATTTTGTTTGATGTTGTGGATAGAATAAATGACAGTTCTTGCGAAAGCATAAAAAATAGTTTATTAATAAAAAGAACTAGTTATTTAAACTAGAACAAAAATTGAATTCACTCTTTAAAAATGTTTTGGAACAAAATTACTTCATGAGCATCCCTTTTATTCAAACAATTTTTAAAAGTCCAACTGACAGTATACAGAAGTTCATTAATTTGACTATAGGAGTGGTACTAGATTCTTGACAATGTCAAGTTACCGGATGTTTATGTATTTTCATAAAATTCTACAAATTGTACCTGAACATTATAGACGATGCTATACATTTTGTACTGGTACATTCTGCTGTATGCATCTTGTTTCAAAGATGATACAGTATATGACTATGCTATTTGAAGATTGATTGAAAAACCTGCAAAAACATTATTTTAACGAACATGTTATTTTCTGGGTCTTTAATGTATCACAAGTCTAAACAAATTTCAATTTGTAGAGTACTGGAAAGTTCTATATCACTATAAATAATATTGAGCTAGCAAATATTTCATTGTTTTATATATACTCTGTTGTCATAGCATGTAAAGCTGAACATCAAGATGGTAATCTTCCTATGAAATAGTCTGCAGACAAATTCCAGAACTTTCTTAAAATGGTTTTCTTTCCTTTTGAAATCATTTGATTCAAATTCTATGCATACCAATTGCATTATGTCTAATGAAAGTTTATATTATTTCATTCTGTCAACATACTCTCACAAAAATATGCCAATTGTTGATATCCTATTCCTATTTATCTATCAGACGAAACAGCATTCACATCTGTTAAATACCGTCTCACTAGTTCAATGTTCCATATAGTTCAAGGCACTACCTTAATCCAAAGTACTGTACATATTCTAGTCAGAACATACAAAAATTGCATATTTGAATAATTCAATTCAAATATATGAGGAGACACAATACACTGAAATTGTAAGCACAGCAAAAGGTCTAACATTGGTTTTCAATTTATTGCTTTAGTGAAATGATATAATTGTCAGATACTTCAATATGGTTGTCACTTGCCCCATATTGTACAGGACATCATGTATTTTAAGCACAATATATTATCATCATTATCATTACTAAAGCGATATTTTAATATAACATAATGGATGTATCATTATTACTGTTTTCCATTGTATATGTATTTTGTATACTTCAAGTTTTTGTTAGTTCAAGGTTGTCTCATTCCCTATCAACTCACACTATCAAGTTTCTAATCTATAATCTTTAAAATATTATTTTAAAATAAATTTTGATTATGATCAGTATTTTATGTACTATTTTTCTCCATTTTAATTGAAAATATAATTAATTAATATATGCTGTTTGTCTAAATCAGCGATTTTCAACCAGTATGCCACAAGAGGATTGTATGTGTGCCATGAAAATTTTTGAAGGTTATTAAATAAATTATTTTCAAAAGAAGCCCAAAGAACAATAAGTGTACTTGTCAAAATTAAAACCTCATTAAATTGATTACAGGAGTTTTCCATTGTTATAATAAATAAATGTATACATATTATGGTAAAAAAATCTATATTCATATCCAAAGTTATATATACTGTACATAACACTGGGTTAGTTCATTTAAAATTAAATTTTGTTTAAATTTAAAATGTATGTATAATTGTCAATATTTAGTTCAAATTATTTTAATTTACAAATAACAAGACATTGGACAGTTTTCTAAAGGCAAACATCCTGCCACTTTTAAATGCAAATTAAGACTTAATGTTAATTGCTTTTCTTAGATCAGATATCTCATTAAATTTTCAATTATAATAAACCAAAAAATAAATAAGACTTTTTAAAAATTTTAATTATTATTTAAATTAAATTTTAATTTAAGAAATTATAGTAAATTGCTTTGTGTTAATAAATAAATTAGGAAAAATACAATCTTTCTTTTTACTCATTCCTTAATCACTATAATTCATCATTATAGTGTGCCGTGAGATAAACATTGAAAAATACTGGTTTAAATGTTCTGATTTTGTTGAACAGTGATATATTTTATAATGAAAAAATGAACTGGCTTAATTTAAACCATGTTGTATTGCTCTTCATTTAATCAATACATAAAGTAAAATGTGAAACTTACCTACGTATTTCTCTACATATTCAAAATTATTTAATAACAATTACTTTTAAAATGTAACAAAAATTTTTTAAATACAGTAAGGTTTCAATATTGTTTCCTAATAACATTTCATCTTTTGTAAAATATCTTTTTGTGTCTTTAATATCAATACAATTTTCATGCTTCATTCTGTTAACAATTTCTACTTCAGAATGTATTTAACTTTTTAGTTGCATTAATAGAGCATGATTTATTTAAAATATTCCAAACAATATTACAGCTTTAAACAAGTTTTTCATTTATAACTTATAAAAGATAAATCTAACTCTAATTGGAGCACTNAAGGATTATTTTAAAATAAATTTTGATTATGATCAGTATTTTATGTACTATTTTTCTCCATTTTAATTGAAAATATAATTAATTAATATATGCTGTTTGTCTAAATCAGCGATTTTCAACCAGTATGCCACAAGAGGATTGTATGTGTGCCATGAAAATTTTTGAAGGTTATTAAATAAATTATTTTCAAAAGAAGCCCAAAGAACAATAAGTGTACTTGTCAAAATTAAAACCTCATTAAATTGATTACAGGAGTTTTCCATTGTTATAATAAATAAATGTATACATATTATGGTAAAAAAATCTATATTCATATCCAAAGTTATATATACTGTACATAACACTGGGTTAGTTCATTTAAAATTAAATTTTGTTTAAATTTAAAATGTATGTATAATTGTCAATATTTAGTTCAAATTATTTTAATTTACAAATAACAAGACATTGGACAGTTTTCTAAAGGCAAACATCCTGCCACTTTTAAATGCAAATTAAGACTTAATGTTAATTGCTTTTCTTAGATCAGATATCTCATTAAATTTTCAATTATAATAAACCAAAAAATAAATAAGACTTTTTAAAAATTTTAATTATTATTTAAATTAAATTTTAATTTAAGAAATTATAGTAAATTGCTTTGTGTTAATAAATAAATTAGGAAAAATACAATCTTTCTTTTTACTCATTCCTTAATCACTATAATTCATCATTATAGTGTGCCATGAGATAAACATTGAAAAATACTGGTTTAAATGTTCTGATTTTGTTGAACAGTGATATATTTTATAATGAAAAAATGAACTGGCTTAATTTAAACCATGTTGTATTGCTCTTCATTTAATCAATACATAAAGTAAAATGTGAAACTTACCTACGTATTTCTCTACATATTCAAAATTATTTAATAACAATTACTTTTAAAATGTAACAAAAATTTTTTAAATACAGTAAGGTTTCAATATTGTTTCCTAATAACATTTCATCTTTTGTAAAATATCTTTTTGTGTCTTTAATATCAATACAATTTTCATGCTTCATTCTGTTAACAATTTCTACTTCAGAATGTATTTAACTTTTTAGTTGCATTAATAGAGCATGATTTATTTAAAATATTCCAAACAATATTACAGCTTTAAACAAGTTTTTCATTTATAACTTATAAAAGATAAATCTAACTCTAATTGGAGCACTATTTCTTATTTTTTTAATATTTTAATTATAAATATTCTTTTTCTAAATATTTATATAAGCTAAATCAGCTATACTATTTAAATTTTATTTAAAACAGAAACATTAATTCAGCAAGTGCACAATAAATTGCAATTTTAATTGACAAAATTATGAAAATAATAATTAATTTAGATTTAAAATAAATGCAAAATTTATTTACAGAATGTTTCATAAACTGATTCTGAATATCAAGCACATTCTTTTAATTTTTATTACTTATTAATTAATAAGATAATAGGTAATTCTATTTCATTTTTAGCTTATTCATTAATTTTGTTTTTATTTTCATACAGATCATATGAAATAATGCCAGTTAAACGAGGAAGAAAAAGGAAAGTGAAATCCAAATCCCTTGCAAAGGATGATAAACAGTTAAAAGAGAAAGAAATTAATATAATTTGTTCAGAAATAGATCGGCAAGTAGAGAGACGTGTGAAAAGTATGATTGATGCTCATGAAACTGTGGCTACATCCATCCGTTCAATATATATCAGAGAAATTTCAAGCTATACTAAGGTAAATTAAACTTTTTATATAACGTTGATAGCAATTTTTTAAACATTATTTTAAAAAGTTTTATTAAGAAGTTAATTATGTTATGCTACAGTTAAATTCATTTTAATTCTGAAAACATTAGCTTAAGAAAGGATTTAATAATGTTTTTCTTAATTTTTTCCAGAAAGTGAAAGCAATGACTGTAAAAGAATTTTTTAGTAAGAAAATTTTTATACTATGTACATTTAATAATTTATGTTTAAAGTAATTTTTATAACTTTTTCCAGATAATTAAAATAATTTTTAAAATTTACATAAAAAATTTATTTTAAAATCAAATTTTAAATAATTAGTTTTACATTAAATTTCAATTTTCTACATAAGCATATATAAATTCAAATATTCACCAATTCTAAAATAATCCAAAATATTTCATTTGCATTGATCCACACAAAAAATACTGCAAACTTAAATGTACTTAAGCTACAGGGATTTAGTTTAGATTGGTGATTTAGAAAAAAATATTATTGTAGTATATTATATAAATATTTCCATTAAAACAACTATGCTATAGTTGTTTTAGTGGAAGATGAACTCTAGCAAGAGTGAAGGAAGACATGATGTCCTCCTTCACTCTTGCTAGAGTTCATCTTCATATATGATTTCCAAATTCTTAGTTAATATAGTATTAGCATGTCTTTTTAAAATTGATAAAAGTAGTTGAAGAATTAGGAATAATTGGAAACTAATGCATTCAATTGAATTTATATTGAGGCAATTTTGAAAGATGATTGAATACCTAATTGTAGGGTTACTATATGTCCTCATTTCGTACACATAAAAGGAGATTTTTCATTATTGGTAATAATGTAATTTCTAGATATTTATAATTTAGAGTTGGCTACCTGATTAATTGCATTGGCAATTGAGTAGAATTTTCAGTTTGATATTATATTTTTAGCTTTGAATTTCAAGTTTCAGTTTCATTTCCAATCATCATTGCCAACCAGCTTTACATTTTGGTCATATGTAAATGACATGCAGCATTAGATTTTCTTGTGTGTTTAGTTTTTGTAGTAATCTACAGTTTATCTACCTAGATTAATTGAACAAGTGCTTGCTTAAATTAGCTTATCATGTAAGTAAAAATAAAATTTTATTTATTACAATATAATACATAGAAAAATAATTAAGAAAACATCAGTTATCATCAAAGTTTTAAGAACATGGTTTGAGGTTGCTTGTGTATTGGGTTTGGCTGAGGTGATCTCATTTTGGGCTTACACAATACAACAACCATTACTGAATTATTTAGTTTATGAAGCTCAAAATAAAATCACATTTATGTTTGGAATCTTCACTAATTATTTTTTGAAAAAAGTTGCTCAGAAAGTAAAAATCTGTATAATTTAATAGAGAAATTACTATAGTTTTCCAATCATGCGCTGCAATTTTTAATTTATTTAATTTAAAATATATGCTCTCCACCTCAAATTAGTAGAGGCTTGTCCCTATATATCATACTATTCCTCTAATGATATAGTCATGCTAGTCACCTATTTAACACCTTACATGGAAAAGTTTTTGAATTGAAATAACATGACTTCTGGTTTACATTGGAAATTCTTGTATAGTTAATTGGGGCATCCTGCCCTTAAGGTTTCATATCTGGTGTCATCTTTCATTTATCTAATTTCATTCTTGAGATTAAGGAAAGATGGATAGACAACAGTGGGAATTTATAGGTCTACAATTTTTTCAAATTGCAGGCCAATAATGATAACTATATAGGATTTCTACAATCAGTAATCAATTGAATTCAGAACAAGTTGATTTTTTTAGAGTATTTACAATGATGTCCAAAAGTCCTGCACCAATAATCTGAAAATCAAATTTGTTTATTTCAACTTGACACTATTATGTTTCAAGTACGGGTATTTATAATATAGTGTGTCTACAAATTATTAAATCACGTTAACTCCATAAAATTATGCGTAGAAAAGCACTGAGGTTAAATTATGCAAATATCCATTCAGTCCATCTGGACAGTCAAAATTATTAATGCAATGTTTGAAGGCATTAGTGCTTCAGGATAATTACCTTAAGCTTTTATTTCATCAAGAATGAATGGTTCAAATTATTAAACAACACCAGTACCCATTCCTTTTACATTTCAGCAAGATAATGCAAACATATATTTAGTGCAGTATATACCAGGGGTTTCAGAACAATGATATTGAAGTTCTGGATTGGTTAGCATGCTTCCAAGACCTCAATCCAATGGAAAATCTATAGGAAATTTTTGTGAAATAAATATAGGCAGCTAACCATCTTTTATGTCATTTGAGTACTGAAAAATGCATTTCTGCAGACCTGGGAAGAGGTGGGTATGAAGACTACAAAAATCTTGTTCAGAGAATGTCTAACAGAATATTTCAATTAATAAATAAAAACAGATGCCTAACAAATTATTAATACTAATGTTTCATGACTTTTATATGCCCTTTTTTCTAACGTTAAAAATATTGACTTGGGTGTTTTTATTTTTGTTCAGTACTGTATATATAGAACATATGTTATTAACACATATCTTAATCATTGTAATTAACCTAAATATATATTATTTAAAGTAATTGTTTACAATACAGTTGAGATTTTTATACAGATTTCAACTGACATCTAAACTAGAATGTAATTTGTGAATTAAAACTATATTACAAAAGAGAAAATGCAGTCAAGCTCTAAGAATGATAAAAATACTGTAGTGAGGAATCAAAAGTAATAGAGAAATGAAACACATTACTAATATAATTATTACTGAAAAAAGAGATTGAGATATTTTCTGAAAAGACTAAAAATGATAAAACTTGAAAAACTGTAATTTTAAGAAAATTTCTATCCAAAAAATAGATATAAAATAGTTTATAATTTTTTGTGATGAGATTGACAACTTTGTTATCATAGAATTGATTTAAAATTAGAGAACTAGAAAATTAATATTCTTTAATAAATTATATATGTAAAAATGTATTAATATTGTAAAAAATTAATACCAATTATTATTATTTTTCAAATATTTAAGAATGAAATAAAATTTGTGCATTTTTAGAATTTGCAAATGTTAATATTTGAACATTTTTAGTTAAAAAGTGTTTAAATAGAAATACATTGTAATATTTTATATCAATATACAAGTAAAAAGAAATTTTACAATTTTTCAATATTTATTTTCAGTTTTTTTTTAATTTGAAATAAACAGGATTGGTCAATCTCTTCTAAATTAAAAAAAAACAATGTAATTATGTATTTACGTGATAAAAATAGAAGTTTATATACAGCTGAGTCTGCATAAGTCAACACCCCAAGGGGAAGTGGAAATGTGTCGAGTTATCTGATATGACAACTAAAATGAAGTTGAGAAAAACCAGAAAACTACAATTAGGAAAATACAATAGTGCTTTGTACAGTATGTGCAATGTATCTCTCCGACCATCCATCAGTGGCACTAAAGTTGGTTTCTACTTCAAGTACTGTACCTCACCGATTTCCATCGTTTTTTGTTTCAGTATCGGCCCTGAAACAGGAAGATTTGATGAACGAATTTGCTTTAGCCAGCATACCAGAGCATCTTTGACATCTTTGTATGACGACTCTCTTTGGCGTTTTTGAGACAGCTGCGACGAAAATCCAAGAAAAAGTTTCTTAATTTCCTCTTTTTTTCTTCAGAATTCTACCAATATTGTTCTTGGAAGGTTTTCTTGGCTTGCAAAGTTTTAGTACATTCAAATTCAGATAAAAGTTTGTATTTTTCCTTTGGTGTAAGCATTGTTAGGTTTCAGATACTCATTTCTAACAGAAAAGTGAAACACTTGCCGCAAATAATGCTTGAATGAAAGGTGAGAAAGTGCAAAATCAAATTCTGCTGTGTGGGGTTAACTCGTTTTTTTCAGGAGAGTAGTCGACTTATCAGATGTCTAAACGAGTGTGGGACAGAAAAAGTATGTCGATTTATCCAGTGGTGACTTTAATTTAATGTTTTTTTTTTTTTTTTTTTTTTTTTTTTTTTTTTTTTTTTTTTTTTTTTTTTTTTTTTTTTTTTTTTTTTTTTTTTTTTTTTTTTTTTTTTTTTTTTTTTTTTTTTTTTTTTTTTTTTTTTTTTTTTTTTTTTTTTTTTTTTTTTTTTTTTTTTTTTTTTTTTTTTTTTTTTTTTTTTTTTTTTTTTTTTTTTTTTTTTTTTTTTTTTTTTTTTTTTTTTTTTTTTTTTTTTTTTTTTTTTTTTTTTTTTTTTTTTTTTTTTTTTTTTTTTTTTTTTTTTTTTTTTTTTTTTTTTTTTTTTTTTTTTTTTTTTTTTTTTTTTTTTTTTTTTTTTTTTTTTTTTTTTTTTTTTTTTTTTTTTTTTTTNATCTTCAAATTAAAGCCAAGTAATACATTAAAAAAATAACTGTAGTAAGAAAAACAAATGAAAAATGCGAACTAATGTAACGTCGTATGGTGAGTTTTTGTTCGTATCGTGGAGCAAAAATATGTTCGAATTTCATGTCGTATGCTGGGGCGTTCGTAACCTGAGGTACCACTGTATATGGAATTTATTCGCTTGGAACCAAACTAAAAGATTTGCTGATTACAAGAAGTTTTTCAATTCAGTGTACTCCATTAAAATAATTACAATACTGTTTTCATTACTGAAAAATTAAGACTATACAAAATAAATTTTGAGTCCTTTTTTTGTATAGTCTTAATTTTTCACTAATGAAATTAGTCAAAATAATCCTGGGCTTCTATTTACAATTACAATACTGCTATCAATAGTTTAATGTTATCATAGTTAGTCCCAAGGCAAGTAAGTTAATATTGTAATTATAACATTATTAGTAATTCTTGTTAAATTTTCAAGCTATATGATTTTTAATTGTTTTGACATGTCCCTTTCAGAATCAGTAAAACCAATATTTTCAATAATTGTAGTCTTATTTTACTTACCCCATTTAATGTTAGTTATTGTTACCATTACAGGCAATTTTGAAAAATGATTACAAAACTACTGTATATTGAAAACTTAAATAATTGCTTTTTCTGCCTCTTGTGTAATTTAATTCTCTAAGGCAAATGAATATCTCATTTTACATCTCTCAAATTAATTTTTGAATTTGAAATGGATATTTGACTGTGCATTTGTGATTAATCAGCATTTAAAAATGAGAATATAAAATTATTGATGTTGAGAAATTTTATCAAGGAAATATCAAATTTCATCAGTCAGTTTAATCATTGTATGGATGAAAGAAACTTAAATACTTTCTGCATGAATGTACCAAAAAATTGCTACATGACATTATGATAGAAATATTGTTTGTCTGCTGTTTTAAAATTCAAGAATGACAATTTAAATTTCAAAATATTAATTATTATATTTATTCAGTGTAAGAGCAGTTGAACCAATTTCTATGAAACTTTTTACATATAGGATAGTCCTAGGAAGGATGTAGATTACTTTGTTTCCAAAAATCTGTTGATTTTATAAGCTTTGATAAATTATGATATTGTTGGCCAAGAATAAATAGTTTATGCCCAATTCTTATCGGGTCTTTTGCACGAATAGGAAGTTTTGCCTGGAAGACATTGGGTGTGACATGAACTGTGAAATTCAAATACAATAGACTAATGTTGTCAGTAACAGAGAAAAGTAAACATTGGTAAAAGCTAGTGAAATGAAATTTGATTGGTTTGCCTGTTGTTTGAGCAAAATGTTTGCAGTACTAGACCAATACCATTTTTACTTGTGTTAGAATTTCTTTTGATGGAAAATAGATTCAACCAAACACAATTATATACAGGCATACCTCGACTTACGTCGGTTTTGAGTTACGTCGTTCCCGATTATACGTCGCTTGTTAAAAAAGTATATGGAAAAATAAAAATCAAGTTTAAGTCATTTTATTCGACTTTACGTCTGTCCGCCACAAATATTGAAGTCGTAATATCACTAGATAAACGTTTAAAGCACATAAAATCATATTAAAATATATACAAGTATGTACTGTATTTACAGTACACGCATTCGTAAATTTAGATTACTTTTTTTGTACTATATTAAAAACTAAAATTTATTTCTTTGTAAGCTTAAAATAGATTTTTATTAACCATATATTATTTAAAATGCTTTCCTAGTGATAAGTAGATTCGGAGACAGGTAAATTCGACTTACGTCGTTTTCCTGGAACCAATTACCGACGTAAGGCGAGGTATACCTGTATAAGTAAATTTACTTAAATTTCTTGAGCAAAGATAGTTACCTCAGCTAATTTATATATAAAATGCAATTATTCTTGTCAGAAATTTAAAATGTTTATACTTGCATATATACAAATTAATTTTATTTGGCTTTATACATGATGATTGTCTTAAATCATAATATAGAATTAAATAGAAAAATATCTACTTTTGTAAACCATTTTGTTTTTCATTTCAAATCTTTCTTTATATATATTAATTTTTTTTTCATCATCAACCTGAACTAAGAAAATTAAGTGTTTAATTTTTTTAGATCTCTAAGAAATTATTATAAGAAATAGAAACAATTTTAATTTTTCACAGAACTCTATATAAAATTTATTTTCAGATCAAGGTGGAAAGAAAAGTTTAAATTTAAATAGTGTCAAAGAAGAGATTCAGAATCTTTCTAATAATGTCTCATCTGTTCTTAGGTAATTAAAAAAAACATTTTATTTTAAGTACAATTTTTTTTGATAATTCCAATGAAATCCTTTATTCTTTACACTATAAAACGATTATCAGAAATAACATTATCTGTTAAAATATATAAGCATTTTGGATTTCAGAAAGAAAGAAGAAGAAGTTAAGGGTACATGTTCAGTGGCCAAATCTAAGAGAGTTAGAAAGGTATATTGAAACTTTTCACTTATACATGCATTCTGCAGAGTAGTAATTAATATTTATCAAGTTTTGCAAGTAATTGATTAAGTATTATTATTTATGATTGTTATTAAATAACAAAAATTCATGGTTTGAGTACATATATGATTTTGCAACTGGTAAAGATTGATATTTTTTATGATAAAAAAAATCAAATCCTAGAAAACTTCACTATTGTATATTTGATGCAGAATATAATGTCATTTTTGAAAACTAGAATATTTTGCCAACTAATTTATATCATCATATAAAAAGAGACTTGTCTTAATTTAATTATTAAAACATATTTCAAATTAAAAATTAATCTTGAAATTTTTAAAATTTTCATAATGTTTGTATTGCATTGAATTAACATGAAAAATATTTGATTAAATAAACTTTTATTTTAATAATTGGTATATAGTGTATTAATATCATAATTTTAATCAACACAAAAGTTAAAATCACTGTAAAAATTTTCAAGAAATAGTGATGTGAATCACTATTTCTTGAAAATAGTGATGAAATAGTGATTCACAGAAATCAAAGAAATAGTGATTCACATCACTATTTCTTTGATTTCACATCACATCACTTCAAGAAATAGTGATTCACATCACTATTTCTTGAAATAGTGATGTGAATCACTATTTGCAAATGGTAAAACTGAACTTGTTCCTGTCTGTATACAATTACTGATAAAAATAGAAATTAAAACCTTCCCCTTTTAGATTTACATTTCACTTCTAATGCACATTTTTTCCTCCATACTCATTGACAGTCATCATGTGTGACCATGTTACTGCACTATTATATTTAGATTTAGTCCAATACAATTGAAAATATTTGAAACATTGCATTCTTTATTAAGTAAAAGATTGAAATTGTTTTATTTCAATCCACAATTTTTTTATTATTAATAGGTCACAAGGAAGACTTCTATTAAAACTAAAAGCATTACAAAATCTCAAACACGTTCAAACAATCCCTTTTCTACTCCATTAAATTCTAGGGCAGTTTTTCAGCCGATTACACCTAAATTTGATCCCAGGTAAGTTTTAAAAAAATTAAATAAATTCTTGCTTTTGCTACTTGTTAATATTAATAATTTGATTTAGTTTGCCGACGCCGCATGCGAGGAAGCCTCGTTTCGGAGAAGTTTTTCTTTCACTAGCCGGAAGTCCAGTAACAATGCAATCACAGAGCATGGAAAATAAGAGCGATGTGGTCATTTCTGTAGAGAGTGGCAAGGTGAATATCAATAGTAAATTATACTTTTTATGTTTTGAAATTAAAACTATTTTGCATTTTTGACAGATGATCATGAGTCTTCCAGAAAAAATGGATGAAGTTCAACTAGATGACACAACTAAAGACAGTTTGATGAAAGTAAAAAATAAATTAGATAAATTGCTTCAGTGTTAATTAAAAACATCATGAATATTTTTATTCATATTTTTTCTTCACCATAATCTTATTTTTATTGTAAACTTTGCTTAGATACATTGTATCAATACACATCAGTTATTTGTACATAATCAGGTATTTTTATATGTATGCAATAAATATATATTTCCCCTGCCACTAAAACTTAATTAACAAGTTATTTGTCTGCCAAATTGAATGCTGAGCTTTTAAAACAACTCTGACCTAATTCCTGTTTGTGATCTTCAAAAGGTGCACATGACTCCGTGAATATTTAGGCTAATTTGAAAATAGTCAGTTGAAAAAGTTTTTATTTAGTCATAAAATAATGCACTGTGCTAAATTTAAATATTTAGATTCCTATATAGAAATAAAAATTGAGTAATGCCCAATGGGTTTTTAAAATATAATATGCAATTTTAAATCAACACAACAAACTTTCAACTTGTGCAAAGAGGCTGAGCTGGAATTGGCACAGTTTGTGGTAATTTTTGTTTAAGTTCAATGCATTTAGGTGTTTTAATAATGTTCAGATTTGAAGATATGAAAGAATTGCTTTTCTCTCTCAAAACTTCAGTGTTTTTCTTATTTGAAGTATATTGAAGATCCTCTGTATTTGATATTTCATTTGGTAACTCATCCACACTTCCGAGAGGGGTTGGTCGCTCCTCAATTCCTGTGCATCCATCTCCCACAGTTCTTTCACTTTTCCTGTTTGCTTCTAGCACTTGTTTTGCCAACAAGCTGTAATAATTTACTATTAGTAACCTGAAAATTTGCTTAAAGAGAACTCTAAAATCATACATACTTTGAGCAAGATGGATAACTTTCTGGACATAAAATGGTTGCATCTAGTCCAACTTCTATATCCGTAGATTCATCACTTGAGCCAATTAAAGAACTCTCTATCCTGAAATACAAATTGTTCTATTACTTTTTATATTTGTAAAATTAAGTGCTTATACTCTAAATATTTACATTTGAGCAATGGCTAGATTTAAATTATGAAGTTGAAGTAATTGACTAGATCTGTTTTCAGAATCTCCAGAATTGCAATGCATATCAAAAGACTGGTGTTTGCAAGATTGCATATGAGCATAGGAAGTTAGAGCACACTCTAATCTAAAAACAAATACCAAATTATTATTGAATATAATTTGATGTATCAATAAATAAGCAATACTCACTTTAAACTCTGCACTAAGGATGACAATTGTGATTTCAGCATTGCTATCTCTGCACGAAGATATTCTAGTTCACAGTCTTTATCTTTGAGCTGATACTTTAAATTTCGAACTGTATCTTCTAAATTTGCACAAAATGCCTTTTGAGAAATTAAAAATCATATACATAAAAAAATGATAAAAAATAATTCATTTGTATGTATAACAGCACATTTTGTAAATTGGCAATTATATAAGACAGAAAATGAATTATTATAATCTAATATAAAAATTAAATTGTGCAATAATTCACTAATTCCTTTTTGGCTTTTTAATAGAATATAACAGACAAAGACCAATGACTAAGAATAGACCAAAAATAAAAAGCCAGACAGACTACAAAAACACAATTGAATCTATCTACATTTTTTTTAATTTAGGTAGCAACTTTTAAAATCATTATTATGTTTTTAAATTGCTCAAAATTATATGTATTTTGTGTATTATCTAGCTTTTACTAACTTCAACAATTGACCCAAAAAAAAAAAAACAAGTTTTAGATTCTAAGGATTAATCTTACATTGTAATTATATTTTATATAAATATCAAATACATATGTAAGTTTGCACACAAAAATCCATTTTTTAATAGGTTTGTTCCAGAATAATATCAATAGCACATATATCCAATCTAAGATAATTTACTTAGGCATGATACATGTTTGTATTATGATTATTATAGTGGATAAAAATTTATCAGTATTATACCCATTATCATAACATTTCAATTATGGGATGTTCAAAAATAATGTAAAAAGATGCCAATCAATGAAATAATGTATAAAAATTTCTGAATAAAGAACTAAAATGAATATTTTATTTTATACATAACTTAAAATTAATTTTTGGACAATATTTATGCATAAATAACAACTCAAAGCCCAAGTAGTACATAATAAATTACCAAACGATTGCCTAAATATCGGGCTATAACATGGCTAATTACATGATTGGAATAAAGTAATTTGACATTAGAGGTAGGCTTTATTCCAATCATTTAATTATCCACGTTATAGCCCGATATTTAGGCAATCGTTTGGTAATTTAATATTTATGCATTGTGATACACATATGTTTCTTTAACTTAATATATTCTTTCCACTTTGAACTACTAATATGTTTAAAATTATGCTACAAAAATCAAATTAAATATATAATGAGTATTTGAATAATTATATAAAATAATTCCTAATAAAATTAAAGTTTTGTTCATCCAAATATTTATTAAAACATCCAAAATAAGAAAACTTAACTATTTTATCTGTTATATTAAATATTTAACAAAAGAAAATATTTTCAGAAGACAACAAGTAACAAATTTCAAGTATCTTTTTGTCAAAGATTTGCTATCTTACAGCTATCTAAAAGTCAACAATCTTAAAAATAACTATTGTGCTACATAAGTTGAAATGTAAAAATGACTAAGAACAATAGTTCTCATTACTTATTTAGATGCTTTTTTAGGAGAATTTTTTCTTTTTAAATATTTAAAAATAGACTTACTCTACTTTCTTCGATACTGTCGTGAGGATCGGGAGGATCATCCAAGCAAAAAAAATCTCTAACCAGTTTACTGTATAAATCATAAAATTAGCCAAGCTTGTAACAATCTTGTACATAAATATAATAATTAAAAACATACCATTGACTTATTTCTTTATGTTTTAATATGTTTGTTATGTATGCTTGTAGACCTAGTAAACGATCTTCCAGGAAGATAGGATCGAAATTATTTCCAAACCATCTTTTCGGGGGAAGCACAAGTCTTAAATTTTTAAACAGTACTTTTAACTGGGGGGAAAAGGAATTTTGTGAAAACTTTTAAACATGTTTATAAGAATATTTGTTTAAATTTGCTCACCTTTTTATTTAATCTCACAAAATCTGTGTAACGCCTAAAGACAAACCAAGTCTGTCCCGAAGGCTGATGTTCTACTCGAATTTTGAACACCTTTGCACAAAAAGCATCGTTTCACAAACAAACTGATATATATAATTATTTAAATACTCTTGAAACTTACCGTAAATCTCGTACGTTCCTCCATTACTTCATAATCTAATATGGGAATGCTATATTCTAGAGATTCCGGCATATCATCACATTGTGAGGTTTCTGCTCCATTTAGTTCATTAGAAGTATCGACTACAATCTGGGCAACATTTCTAGGAGAATCACTACTAATGCAAACATTTCTTTCTTGTTTGTTTGGTGTACTTGTCTTCCGAATATCTTCATCAAATTTTGTTTGACTATCACAGGTAGTTTGATCAAACTCGTTAACAACAGAACAGGCAGATCCGTTTACCTTTACGTTTTCGGCACCCATCGCATCCCCATTCTCGAGCTGAGAACAACGGCTATTGTCGGCACAGGTCGCCATTGTGACTTAGCTATGAAATTTCAGCTTCCTTCATTACTGAAAGTATTTTAAAAAACTCGATTATACACATTCATAAAATAAATTACCATAAAATTATAATGCAAATCCATAACATAAGGTCTATCACATGTTCTTAACATACAGAAAGCATTTCGTAAGAAACCGGTTGTTATCAAAAGACAGTAAACTTTACGTTACCCAGTAACAAGCAAGTTTTCCCAAAAGGAAAATGACGAAACAAGTTTTGATTTTTTTTCAAGGTTAATTTATTTGATCCGAAATTTTATAACCAAACATTCATCAATAAAACCAAAGATATGAAAAAAAAGCACCTTACTAACTCATTAACATAATAAGGTAATTTAATAACAAGGAGTTCCATTGTTTCAACTGTTGTGTGGTTATTTTATTGCAATCACTGACCATAACTCCCAAGTTCAATTATATAAAGGTATCAAAATTTAATTAACGTGATGTAAAATGCAATAATTTATGTGGATAACACATTGCAAATAGTAGAATATCCATTATTTGCATTATAAAAGTTAAAATATATTTAGTTTTAGGGGTTCAAAGTCGTTAAAAGTGAAACAAGTCACGATTTAGTATCGAATTTCGACGTCTCGTTACGGATGAATATTCCATTGTATAGAATTACGCGTGTTAACAGGTACAGTACTAACACAAGTTACGAAATTTGAAAAGAAAAAGGCAGGCTGCAAAATACAAAATTTGCTACAGCAAATTCCCGGGAAGTGATAAAAAAAAAATTCGGAATATTTATTATTCCGGATCTAAGATCTGGTAATTGTAGCGGGTATGGTGGCTGCTAGATTAAAGGATCTCGAATGTATTATTATTATGCATCGGGTAGTTCATTTACATCGATTTTAAAATCAAATTTTCTGGGGGGAAAAAAACTAATAAAAAAAAAAATATTGGATTCCGGGTAAAAGCGGTGTTTTAAACTCAAATTTTAAGGTTGACTGACGGAAATAATGACAGAGACGCAATGGACATCATATAATGGGAATTTTAACGGAGACGAAACGAGGTCGTCGAACAATATGCGGTATTTTGTTTATCCCTTAATGTTTTCGAATTTTTTATTTATTTATTTTTTTCCTTGTTGGTAATTTAACGTTTCGACTTTTTTTTTAAAAAAATAATAATTTTAATCGGACAAAGTAACAGAAAAAACGGGAAGGATTATAAAAAAGAGGAAATTAAGTAAGCGGAGGTCATATCCGATTACTCTAGAAACAGGTAGGATTAAACGAGTTGTTTAAATTAAAGAAAAAATAATAATAATAAAAGGATGATGTTACAGAATAGTTTTAAATATCAATAAAAATAAAATAGAGTTTCTGAAAATGCTAGCGTTTAACATGATAAAGGAGGGGAAAAAACAATAAAAAAAAACTTTCGAAACTTCTGCGTTCGAGATTAATAATTCAAAAATTTAATTTTTTTTTCGATGTCCTTTATATATTTTTGCATCTCTTATCTTGTTTACGATTTCTTAAAATAGAAATTAAGTTATTATTTGTTTATATTATAAATATAAATAAAACACACGTACTAACGAGCCATATCCTCATTAAAGCCGTTGGCGATTCTGATTTTACGTGGCCATCGTTTATGAATGGTTTCAAACGAACAAAAAAAAAGTTTTATTAAGTTTAACCATTTATCACTTAATTTTCTTTTTAAATAAATTGTCGTTAATAATGATAATATAACATAATTTTATTGAGAAATTGAAATAATTAACTTCATTTAAATGGTATCCTAGCAACTCGATAAACATAATTAATTTTATTTGCCAGTAGAGGCGCTTTCCACTCGCGTAAAAGTAATAAAATATTCTAGATGACCCTTTTACATTAAATAATCTGCAGCTCGAATAATAATGCCGCATTCGATGGTAGAAACTGAAGGAATTTAAATTCAGTTTTGAAAATCTATACAAATTAAATTCTACTTCAGAAGGAAACTTTAGACGAACGCAATTGTTTGGCATTTTAAATGGTCCGTTGAGAGAAAACTTGTCGGAAAATAATTATTTCCTTCATATCTCGCTATCAATCTTTCTAGGATGTCCGTTAGTAGCGATCAAAAATTGTTTTGATAAATTCGCTTTTAAAACTAGTTTTGCAGAAGGATTGAACAATTTCCTCTTATATACCTCTACTGTTTATTTTATATTCAAAAAAACGAACAATTCGGAAAAGGTCATCGCTGCAGATAACGTCGTCGTCAATGTCTCTACGCCTTAATCGGCAACAGAAAATTTTAATGTATATATATATATAAAATTACACGAGTTTATGCAATATATAATGTATATAATTCTCCGCTAAATTTATAAAAACTAGTTTGACTTCTCAGTTTAGAGATGAATAAGTCTTGGAAACAGTCAGCACAAGGCTTGTTAGAGCAGTTTTGTTTGAAAAAAAGAAAAAAAATTGCTACCTAGCTCGAAAACCAGGTCATGGTTCTTAGAAAGTCTTTCCGACTATCTCTTTCGTTTACTAATTTCGTAAAAATAGTAAGAAATGATGTACAAAATTACATACGAAAATCCTTCGTAAATATCGTTTTTAATAAACGGAATCTGATATCCTATATAAAACAGAAATAAAATATAATTTAAAAATTTTCGATCGTGTTTCGAAAAACCGCTCAAAATCCATTTTAATATTAATACCTGTCTGTTGATAAATTGACATTATGACAGGTGCACCTTTATACAATATCATTTCCAATGTCAAATAACAAGTGAAATGATTATCTACCTCTGAAAAACGCTAGAAATTTTTATCGAAACTGATTATTAATAAAGATTATTTATACACGTACAAATTTTAATACACAACTACGATGATACAGCTACTTAAAATATATACAGTATATATAATTTAGATAAAAATAAACTGCATTGTGTATGATACCGCTCCTAGATACACAATAGGAGTCGCCTTAAGTTCAGTGTCTCCAAAATAAATCTACAGTCGACAACACCATACTTGGCGCCCACATCTGATAGAAGGTTAATGTCCAAAACAAATGGTGCGGAACAAATCTCGTAGCAAAATTTTTTAAAAAATGGAGATCCATTCGTGCAGTTCCGTTAACATAACAAACAAATTATAACATAATTCGTTAGGGAAAAAAACATGAAACCTCCATATAAAACTCGTCCAATACAAATAACGCAATCATCGGTTGAATGAATATATAAAAATATGTTATATAAATTATATATATATATACACACACACACACACACAACAGATAAACATTAACGCAATGACTCATATTCCTTACTTATCTTTAAATAATTTTTTAAACTGAGGGTTTTCGAAATTACTTCTCTTATCATAATATTAAGATATGTTTTTAGATTTCTGCTACGCACTACAAAGGAGATTTACAAAGCACGTGCGCTGAATTGGCATTTTAACAAGTTAATATCTGTGTATTTAGATCGCATTACGGAAAGTTTTACCGTAAACAAAAACTTTTGTTCCCGTAAACACGGATCATTTTTTAATTTAAAAACAAAAAACACGTGCGAATTGTGTAATTTAATGCAGAAAATTTCATTTCTAATTCGACATATTCGGTGAAATGTATTGTTAAGATGTTCATGTGTTATTTCACTTTCTATTTCGCATAATAGCCTAGATAATTAATACATAACACGCGGATACGCCCTCGATTATGACGTAAACAAATGAATTAATTAAAATTTACCTGTGTCAGTACAAATATCGTCTAAACATAACGTTTTCCGAGCGAACCTTAACCGCCTTCGACAACATTGAATTTGTCAGCAGATCGTAATGCTTTGCATCATTGTACATCCGTCACTCTCTTTACATGTTACTTACACATCTCCCGTATTGCGCCATCTAGTGAATCGAATTTTTTTTAACGTTTAAAAATACATTCAAATTTTATTTAAAACAATTTTTAATATTCGTATAATAAATTTTAATTATAATAAAGTATTTATAAAAATAGATATTCGTTTCTGTTTCTGCAATATTTTTAATCCGATAGATGACGCTTCGTTGTAAACGTGTCCGTCTGGAAGTGGTCGAGAATTTTGTTAGTTTACTTCTTAAAAATTGTGAATAATGAGTAGTTCGATGCGTGAAAGACAAATTTCGGCCCTTAAAAGGATGCTTAACTTTAATATGCCACCCACGAAGTCTACGGTTATTGAGCCTGTGTGGAAAGTATTGGTGTATGATAGGAGTGGACAAGACATATTATCACCACTATTATCTGTGAAAGAATTGAGAGAATTGGGTGTTACACTCCACATGTTATTGCATTCGGATAGAGAGCCAATTCCTGATGTTCCTGCTATATATTTTGTATTACCCAATGATGAAAATATCAGTAGAATAGCTCAAGACTTCAGAAATCAGTTATATGATCACTATTACCTGAATTTCATTTCTCCCATTTCGAGACAGAAATTGGAAGACTTGGCTACGGCATCTCTCAATGCTAATTGCATTTCCAGTGTTAGTAAGGTGGTCGATCAGTACCTTAACTTTATAACCTTAGAAGACGACATGTTCGTGTTGAGACATCAAGACCGAGAGAGTCTTTCTTATTACGGCATCAACAGAGGCGACGTTAAAGATACGGAGATGGATAATATTCTGGACGGCATCGTCGACAGTCTTTTTTCCGTGTTTGTGACTTTGGGTACGGTGCCGATTATTAGGAGTCCGAGAGGAAATGCGGCAGAAATGGTTGCGGAGAAGCTGGATAAAAAAATACGTGAAAATTTGAGAGATCCCAGAAATAGTCTTTTCACATCAGATGCGTTACAGTCTGGCCAGTTCAGTTTTCAGAGGCCGCTTTTAGTTATTCTGGATCGTAATATGGATATGGCAACTCTCTTTCATCATACTTGGACTTATCAGGCTTTAGCTCATGATGTTTTAGACCTTCAACTCAATCGTTTAATGATAGAAGAAATTGAAAAGCCCGGTCATGTTGGTGCTAAACCGTTAAAGAAAAGCAAATCTTACGATCTGAGTAACACGGATAAATTTTGGCAACAACATAAAGGTAGTCCTTTCCCCATAGTTGCGGAATCTGTCCAAGAAGAGCTAGAATCTTACAGAACTTCGGAAGAAGAAGTCAAACGATTGAAAGCTGCAATGGGCTTGGAAGGTGATAATTCGGATGAAACTATAAGTATGCTATCAGATAATACAGCCAAGTTAACATCTGCTGTTAGTTCTTTGCCTGAATTATTAGAGAAGAAGAGACTTATAGACATGCACACTACTATTGCTACTGCTATTCTTGATCATATTAAAAGTCGTAAATTAGATGTATATTTTGAAATTGAGGAGAAAATTCTCGGTAAAGCGACATTAGATAAATCTCTAATGGATTTAATTACAGACCCAGAGGCAGGAACTCCAACTGATAAAATGAGACTTTTTCTGATAAGTTTTATTTGTGGACCACAAATGACAGATGCTGAAGTTGATCAGTATGCAGCTGCTCTCTTAGATGCTGGTTGTGATCTAAATTGTTTACAGTATATGAAAAGATGGAAAACTTACAGTAAAATGACAATATCTGCCAGTCAGTATGGGGGAGCAGGTACAAAAACTGTGAGCATGTTTTCAAAACTCATGTCTCATGGTTCTCAATTTGTAATGGAAGGAGTTAAAAATCTTGTTGTGAAGAAACATAATCTTCCAATTACTCGTATAGTTGATGCTCTCATGGAGTTGAAATCTCTTCAAGAAACAGATGACTATAGATATTTTGATCCAAAATTATTAAGAGTGACGGACAGTTCGTCGATTCCCCGTAATCGTTCACCTTTTCAGGATGCCATAGTTTTTGTAGTTGGAGGTGGAAATTATATAGAATATCAAAATCTAGTAGACTATACAAAAAATAAAACCGGTTCTTCCAATAAACGAGTAGTCTATGGCTGTACAGATCTGGTAAATGCCACTCAGTTCTTAAAGCAGTTATCACATTTAGGAATGGAAATTAAGTGATTAAGCTGGTGAGATTTACATATAAGTGATATTCACTTGTATGAAGACTGTAAACAGGAATAAGTGTATTTCTGTGTCATTACTTGGTGATATATTATTTAAATTTTTGTTTAAAATCAAGAACCAAAACTAGAAGACCAATTAAGATTTTGTTGTTAAAATTATCTTTAGAATTTTAAATGTTCAATCAATCAATAATGATATTTTACTATATAATTTAAATAAAATTTCTTTGGGAAATCTTAAATTGTAAACATTAAATGTAATATAAAATATTTTTCAAATGCAATTTCTTTTTTATAAGAAATTTACACTATTTTTCGAATTTTGAAAAATTGTTATATCAAGCTTTCAGATTTTTATTTTAATTGGTTTTAAAGAATTTACACTTAGACATATTAACCTAATTTCAACAATGATAATTATGTATTAATAAAATCCTAAACTTTTGTAAGTTTTAAAATGTATGACAATTTAATCATACGTAAACCCATAATATCAATGATATTTTTGAGAAGCACAAGATAGATATCTTATCATTTACAAGTGTAGAATTAGGTCCATTCTAGTTCTGTTCCCTCAAATGATTTTGCTTTCTCCATCTCCATGTCTTTCTTGATTGCACTTTCCCATTGATACAAAATAGCTTTGAGTAATTACTTTCTGTCATTTAATTAACATACTGTATCCATTTATAATGGTGTTTACACTATATTTCTGACCTTCAACATTTCCTTTATGTCATAGACCTAACTTATAATTTGCAGATAAATTGCAATTATACTAAGGTTCATTTGAGAAATTTTCATAGCTTATTAAATATGTGTAACATGACAAAATACTAAAATTGGGACCAGTAAGAATTTATTTATACAGGTAACCCCTGTATAACAAGGCACTTCTATAGCACGGATTCACTCTAACACGGTTCGAGAATTGGTACCTCCCCCATATAACATGGTATTGTTATAGCACGGTTTCACTCTGACACGGTTCGAGAATTGGGTAAAACCCTCCTACAACATGAAATGTAATAAATTTTTACATACTTAAGTACTAATAGTTCACAAAAATTATTATTTTCGTGAACTATTAGTACTTAAGTATGTAAATTTTCTTTTCTCGCCTTCTGTCCATACACATGGTCCTTCTAGAAACTTATTTCAATGTTGCCAGATCTCGACACTTCTGCTTCTGATGTTGCCAGATGTTTTTCCCTTATTTTATACTTGCTTTATTCTTCATAAGTGCTTAGCACCATATGAGGAAATTTATAAAGATCTTTTAACTAGAAGCAAGCAATCTAAAATTTCATACATTTTGCAAAAGGTAAAGCATGGATCTGAAGATAATGCAGAAAAATGCTCAGAGGATAACTTCCCATTTTCTTTTTGGCAAGTTATCCTCGGTTAATAGTGCTTTTAGTGATAATGAAGAAAACATTATTTAATTTATATTAATATGTATCACTTAAATATCTTTATTAAAATTTTCTTATCTTAATTATGAAAATATAATAGCATGTTTTTTAATTTTTGGAACCTAACCCTCCTTTTCGTACTAGTTCTTTGTTTCGTATAACACGGATTCGCATAACACGGCAATTTTTTGGAACGTAAC